TTGGAGTGAAGTCCATGCTAATGTGAATAACATGCTGAACATTAACATCAAGGAACATCGCGTGACTGCATTTTCAATGTGCCCGTTGGTGCTGATAAATGGAAATATTGAAAAGTTGAGGGGAAAAAAGGCAATGTGGTGTTCAGCATAATTCCACAGAGCTGATCATCTAACCAGAGCACACCAGGGTGAAAAATTCATCACCTCCAACAGCCATTATCCTTCAAGCAGTTGATGGTGGTGCGGCAGAACATCCCATAACACTGCCGCTTTGGGGACTTAACATGTGATGATTGATTATCCAGATATAATTGTATTATTCACGAGTCCACTCCTCAAACTGCTCTTTAGAAACACTGTATTTCTCATAGGCAGCAATTGAACAGCACTGAACATCACATCCGTGAGGAACACTGTGTGACTGTATAATTTCTGTAGCAGTAATGCTGTCATTATTAACCCCTCGGAATATGTTTACACACATTCACCAAGACTTTTTCCCCCTTTTTATTTTAGGATAGCAGTTAGCTCATTAAAACGCTGCTACAAATGACTTACACACCTGACGTTTAATGCACCTTTGCACCAGCAATGCAACGTAGACAAGTTTAAGGCCGATTCATGCCTAAATTGTGGTTTAATCCACGTCATTCGATTTGGCATTTAATCTTTGGCTGTGACGGAATAAAGGGACAAACGCTTTTAAAAGATTTGATTTGAAATTTTAATAATCTCTACATCCCTTTCAAGTCAGGAAGACACCTCAAAGCGCTTCATAGGATATACTGTAAAGTGTTTGGATGTGTTTTGTGCATGAACATGGCAATCAATCTGCATACAGCGATTCCCACAAACAGCCAAGAAGTGAAACACCAATTTTATCCGGGACAATGTCGACCAGGGTTCTGAAAGATATTCTCTTCTCTCTTTGAATAGTGTCATGGGATCGTCAACATCTACCTGAACAGGCAGATAGGACCTCAGTTTAACATCTCATTCAAAGGAAGGCACGTGTGACAATGCAGAGTAATCCCAGCACTGCTTTACACTGATTGTACATTGCCAAAATATTAAGTTCAAAGTCCCTGAACTGTGGCTTGTAACCACAATCTCTGTTTCAGAGGTGAGAATTCTATCAAGAAATTTCTCTCCAGAGGCCTCGCTCAAAATCTGTTCCCAAAAGAACGCTTTACCCCGGGGAGTGAGGCGAAGGGAAGATGGGATGGTGTTCCAGAGGGTGGGGGCAGAGAGGCTGACCGCCGATAGTGGGTGGGCTGGGCGGGGGATATGGAGCAGGCTGGAGAGAGACAGGTTGATAAGTGGTTAGCAGGTCGGAAAAGTAAGAGGGGGCAAGGCCATGGAGGGCCTTGAAGGTGAGGACAAGAATTTTGAACTCGATCTTCTGAGGGATGGGGAGCTGGTAGAGGCGAGCAAGGGTGGGTGTGATGGGCTCACGGAGCCTGGTGCGGAAGAGGACACAAGCTGCAGAGTTCTGGATGATCTGCAGCTTGTGGAGGGAAGAGTTGGGAAGGCCAACAAGCTGGGCGTTGGCGTTGGCATAGTCGAGCCTGATTGTAATGAAGTCATGTATGAGGGTTTCGGCAGCCTGAGGGGTAAGGCACTGGCGGAGTTGGGTAATGTTGCGGAGGTGGGCAATGTTGCAGAGGTGGGGCAAGGCAGAGTGGGTCATGGCATGGATGTGGGGAAGCAACAGTTGAGGGTCGAATGAGACGCCAAGGTTCCTGACTGACTTGGTGGAGTGTGCATCCGTGGATGCTGATGCTGCCAGTGCCTGGGGTGTGGAGGCGCTGGCGCGAGCCAATCAGGAGACCCTTGTTCTTGCTGAGTTTCAACTGTAGAAAGGATAGGATCTGAACCATTCAAGGACAGAACCTTGAAGGTTAAGGTGAGAGGAGAGATGGTGGAGGAGGGTAGAGTGGGACACAGGATCAAAGGCAGCAGAGAGGTCGAAGGGTACGAGGAGACAGAGGGGGCCCTGGTCACAAATGGACAGAATGTAATTTTTTAAAATATAGACGTGTTTTAGAGAGAGAGACAACCTGAAGATGTCACACTTCTTGCAGCAAAGTGACTCACAATTCAGTGTGGACTAAGAATAAAGTCACTCAGCCTATCAGCCCATCAAATATGAAGAAAGATTTGAAAAGTTAAGACTTATTTCAGGAAGTGTCAGCTTCACTATATCAAATGCAAGGATTTTTTGTTGTTGTTATTTCCCATCAGAGCAGAAAAGATTAATGGACCTGATAAAGCTCTTCAAGATCCAAGAGGGTTATGATAGTCATTGTAATAATTTATTCTCAAAGTAGTTGTGCGATTGTCCCAAATTCATGTCACTTATTCTGGACATGTTTTACCCAGTCCTGAAAATGTCAGAATTCTTATTGCAAAGTTCAACAGCACACATTTAAGTCAATCACAAAAGGAAATGGATAGGTTATAAAACTACTCATACGCAGAGAGGTTCTCTACCACAAAGCATAGCTAAGGTAACATTTAAAAGATATAGATAGTTAGTGAAGAGGAATACCAGCTGAGCAGCTCAGGAAGCTTTGTATAATCTTGATTCCACAGAGGCAGGAACGGGTTAACATTTAATCATTTCTGGGGCAGTGAAAGCGTTCGAGAACATAACTGAAATTTTAAGCAGGTAATCTCTGAATTATGTATATTGATGTTATCCTCCATTAAATATCTGAATTCCAAAAACCTAATGATTATTTTAAAGCATGGGATACAATAGGAAAATGTAAAAGGTTAGGATTTAGAAAATGGCAAGTCAATCAGCATTTTATAGCATTGTAAAATTATACTATTGTCTGCCAATTTGATAAATGTACAGAAAATGTAGCGTTTAAATTCAAACTGAGTTTAAATTTGTCCCCCTTGATGACATCCAATGATGGACCCATTAGCTAAATCTTAGCTAAGTCTTCCTATAGCCTCCAGCTTCTTCATCTGGGCATCATGAGATACAAGGTCAAAAGCCTTTCAATAAAGATAATGTTGGAGGGTTTCTCCTGAGCCTCATTTATGTACTGTAATCTCAGTCAATTGCACACAACAGTGTCCCACAGCAATGTCCCAAACAGTCATGGATTGAGTGAGTGCCCAATTTTCTTTGACAGATTACCACCCCCAGAAAGAGATCCACCAATGACTAACAACCGGGTTCCTACTTAATGCTAAGTAACCGGAGGCGTGTGGAGTAAACAAACTTGCCTAAGGTTTCGCCCTGCCCGGGAATCAAACACGGCTCCTCTCGCTTATGAGGCAAGTGCACTAACCACTAAGCTATAGGACTCCACAACACCTGGTGCCTTACCACAGCAAGGTGATTTTTGGGGGTCAGCCCCCCCAAATTTTTATTTTTGGGGGTCTCTGACCCATTTGGAAACCAATCACCATGCTTAAGAGCATCCAAACCAAACTGGAAATTCCATATATCCCATCTACACATGGAAATGCCAGAGATAGATTGTTGGAATAGAGTAGCATTCTCTCCTTGAAGGGACACATCCTGCTTACCTAATTCTTGAAAGTATTAGACGCCGGTTGGCAAGAGCTAAGGCCTGGGAATCCCAGAGTGTGCGTTGGGGTAATGCTGGAGCCTAAACCAGCTAAAACCGCAGTTTGCCATTGATATCGCTGTCTGGCAAGTGTTCCCGCTGCTTGTCCAGATAGGACCACCCCACCTGTTAGGGCTTTGGCCTGTAGGGTTAACAGGAGCTGAGTGGGATAACTTCCTGCCCTTATTTCAAATAGAGTCCACCCTCCTCTGTGACTGTTTGTAGTCTGATTCCAGGGAGAGGCGGGTCTGTGATACTCAAGGGCACTGCTGATGACAGGCATCCTTGTTCTCTAAGTCTTGCCGATGAGCCAGGTTCCTGCCTAGCTCATCCTCAGGACTTAAGGGAGCAATACCAGTCAGTAAGGGAAGACATTTCGTGATTCTAACTGGATAAGCACCAATGCACACTGTAGGCCCAAACTTTGGCTCTGCCAACCTGTGCCAAATACTCTCCAGAATTTGCTAAGCAGCATGCATCCCTTTCTGGGTTAGCGGTGGAGGGAGGGGGTGTGCATTCCATTCCAGACATAGGGGAAATTTCCATTGAGAAGTGGCATGTGTGTGTGTGGAACTCTTATTCTGCTTTAGATACTTCAAAGCATGATCAAACACCCAGCTGACAAAATGATCGGTTTGGAACTTTGGGTATTTGATCACCTGAAAACCAGAATTCAACGTTACGTCAGGAAATAAGATCCTTGAGCTTCCTTTTCATGGATTTGGACACTGACCTGGTGCTGATAGAATCATCAGAAGCCCTGGAGTTAACGTTTAGAATTTGTTATTGGATCCGGGCACTTTGGGCCTTGCTGCTCTCACCAGACCAGAGACCTGACCAGATGAGGCTAGAGACCAGGCCAAACGAGGTAAGGCCAGAGACCAGACCAGATAGGCAAAAAACACTTCAATTTATATCGCACCTTTCACGCAAGATGTCTTTGGAGTGCTTCACAGTGGTTTTAACCAAACACAGCGCTGAGAACGTCCTACTTTATCTATAATTTTAAGTTATTTTCAACATTCAGCTCTGGAGTCAAACTGGGCGGAATCCTCAATTGGCTATTTATTGAAAGGAAATTCAATGCAAGAGGGCGAATGTATTCACAAAGGCAAACGATAAAAACAGGCACAAACAAGTTGTGCTGAATAGCCTGTTTCAATGCTGTATTCTATGGAATTCGAAGCGAAGACCTGTACGTTTTCAGAAGCGGGAGCCTTGATATATTCGTGATATAAAAACTCCGGACATGCAGCGATCTGACTTCACTCTATCTTCTCCTGCACTGTGCACCTGTTTGTGTTTTGTGGTTGATCAGTGCTTCAGTGTTTGTAGCTTCTCAGGTCAGTTATCCCAGGCTCCAAACCTTCCTCCTTCAGCTTCAAGGAAATAAAGGCATTCACACGAAAATTTGCTCAACTAAAGGCTTTATTGAGGCACTTAATAGCTGAGAATGAAAACTCACAAGCTCTCTCAAAGAACCAATTCACTGGTACAGAAACTGATCAAGAACTATTCTTGTGATACCACATAAGGGCAATTTCCACCTTATATAATATATGAACAAGAAAATATTTTATATTCTGAGTCTCAAATTGTCTGATCACCATTCACTGGACTTACCATCACAGAATTTACATTTGTATTGTGCGTAGTTTTTTTTAAAATTTGTCTCCCTTTCAGAAAAAAGGAATGGTTACTGTCCACCAAGACAGACTTGTGAATTTCCACATTATCTTACACGGAGTTACAGCTTTTTCTTCTTCCTACGCTATCACAAATCACAGAAACCAAGGGCATTTGCCCGAGTAGTTTAAAATTTTAAAATGTTAAAATAGTTACCACACAGAACTTCAAAAATAGCAGAGCAGCAATAAACGGTACTTTTTAAAATTCTCTGATAAACATTACAAAACAAGGTTGAAGTTTTTTTTCATGATATCACTTCTTTCCAAACTAAAATCCGAAGCAACCCATGTGCAACAAAAGGCACTATGTAGCCATAAAAACCCGTCAAATGCCTATGGTCAGGAACCTGAGAGGTGGCGGTTAACCAAACCTTTACCCTTAGTGCCTATTAAGGGGGAAGGAAGGTAGGGAGGGCAAACGATGTTCACTCAGTCCACTTGAGGGGAAAGAAAATACTGATAAACTCTCAAATGATACCACGTTGCAACGCAGCATGGAAACGGTTCAATGCCAGTCCCAAATGCCTTGAGCTTCAGTCATGCTGATGGATGGAAGATTTTTTCATGTTACCCTGAAGTTTCAGAAACACTTCTCTGTCATTTAGTTGCCCCCTGGAGTCGCTCCAAAATTGAATGATGCTGGAATTGATGCACTCATATCAAACTTGTAACCGCCCTGGTCTCGAATTTTCTTAGATTCTAAGGAAACAAATACCAAAAAAATTCAGTGGAAAATAGAAACTGGTGTTACAGAATTTCAGGACAAATCATGAAGCATTTCTTCACCCAGACCAAAGGGCAATTAATGACTGGAAAAGGTTGCAAGGGTTGGAGCCAGGATGCTGGACTTGTTTAAAAACACAGCTTGCTGCTGTGATGGGAAGACAGCAGTGTGTGTGTTCTGGAAATATGAGATAAAGTGGGTTGAAATGCCTCTCTTTAGATTTTTTTCCTTATGTAACCTCTGCATTTTACCTGGATGCGCATGATAGAGCATCTGCTTCTTAGAGAAGTTTATAAAAATGTTTGCAATTTAAGAAATTAAACAGGTTAAAGGTTTGAGTGATAGATTAACAGCTGAATTTAAATTGGACTAAGAAGATTACTTGTTGATTGAAAATTAACCCCAATGTTGGAAACATTTTTTTAAATAATAAATATTGACGATATCTAACCAGATACAGCTCCAAATATCTGTACTGTGATGCACCATTATTTATATTGCACCCATTTGCTCTATATGGGCCATTACATAAATAATAAATAAATTATATAAATGTATACATTTATAGTGTCTGTTAAATAGCTTTTCGTCACACAATAAATTATACACTACTACAGTGCACATTACTTGCAAGTCTGTAGTATTCATTCAAAACTCAAAATAATTGCACAGAAGCAAAAAAGCATTCGATTCTCAGGGTGCTGTTTTGGTCCTGAAATGTAGCTCAAAAGGTTCACGGGTGCAGTCAGTCCAGGAGGTGCAGAATTTGCCTACAGGCAACAAAACAAAGACCCCTGGGAAACTCTTTGGCTTGGTCAGGGTCGGGAAGAGAGAAATTGAACCCGTCCACAACCTGTGCCGACCTGCCCTTTATTTTAAACCCAGGCCTGTGCTGGACATTACAGTCTTGTAGTATAGTGGTTAATGGCTCGCCTCGCAATTGAGAGGATTCAGATTCGATTCCCAGGTGGGGCAAAATCTTAAGCAATCTCCTTACTGCACACACCTCTGTTTACCTATCAGTAAGTAGGAACACGGTTGTTAGTCAGTTGTCGGATCACTTTCTAGGGGAAATAATCCCTCAAAAAAAATTGGTCACTCAATCCATGACTGTTTGTGGGACACTGCTGTGTGCAATTGACTGCCGTGTTTTGGCCACAAAGTACTTTATAGTACATTCTGTAAAGCGCTTTGAGACATCTCAACAACGTGATAAGTCGTGAAGCGCCTTATCACGTTGTTGAGGTGTTTCAAAGTGCTTCACAGAATATACTCAAATGTCAGAATTATTATTATAACTCACCTGCTGCATTTTTCCTCTCTTCTGTCAGCACAAAGATCTCCTGCAACTGCTTTTTCTGGTCTTCACTGAGTGGAGCAGTTAGTACCTGGTACCAGGCAGAGTCTGTGTTTTGCACGTCTGACAAAACAGATAAGCCCACAGGCGTATTAGCAAAGTATTCGTCAGCTTTAAACACTGGCTTCTGCTGCCAGAAGACATCATCGCAACTTCCCGCTGACTGTAGGAAACCATGCACAATCCACTCCCACAAACAGGCCATATCTATGCGCGCTCCAACAGGTGTCACCATTAAGAGGGGGAAACCTATTGATTTTTAGCCTAGACCTGGTGACACCAAACCCAAATGTTGTGACCTCAGCATTACTTCTCCAACACTCCATCTGCCTGTTCAATTGGATGTTAAAGATCCCATGGCAGGATTTGAAAACGGAGTTTTTTCCGGTTGATAATCCCCCAAATAAAACTAGACACTCACTTAACGACAGTTTGTGGGACTTTGCTTTGCACAAATTGGCTCCAAATTACACAAAGTCAATCCATTTTACCGTCTACCCCTTAAATGCTTAAATCCTCCCAACATGAAAAGCACTGTATCAAGTGTAAGGATTATTCCTGTTCTGTGAAGCACTTTGAAGCGAGGTTGGGACAATATCTCATCCAAAAGATCCCACCTTCAACAATGCAACAACCTTCTGGCTCAGAGGTGAGAGTGCCACCACAGAGGTGAGCCAGGCTCACAGAGGTCGCTGCAGCCCTAAAGTGCATGTGACAAAGTGATAAGGTGCAATATAAAATGTGAGGACTAATATTATTTATTAAATAAATGTATAAAAATAAAGAGGAGATTTGAGTAAGCACGATTATTAATATACTCACAGTGGTATATTAAATTTACAGTAAATGTTTTAGAAACACACACTCTAGACATACTTAGGAGTGCTAATGTGAAAATCTGATATTCGTCAACGCTGTTGTCTTCATCGAGCGGTGTGGAGAAGCCCTCCAGAGCAGTCTCTTCTAAACCATCTTCATCCCAGTCATCATCTTCTTCCTCGTCCTCTTCCTCAGCCTGGTGTTGCTCCAGCATCTCTAGGTACTGCTGGCCCGCTTCTTTGACATCATCTTCATCGCTTGGGATCTCTTCTAAAAGTACAAATGATAATTAATAATATTCTTTGTACTTGTGCCTTATGGCGCCATTGAGACATCCCAAAGCGCTTCACAGAATACAGTGTAAAGTGAATTGACTGTATTTCGTAGGTGAAACGCGACAGCCATTTGCGCACAGCAGTGTCCCAGTGATTGACAATTTTTTTTATTAAAAATTAGAGATTATTACCCCTGGAAGGTGATCCGCCAATCGACTAACAACTGGGTTCCTACTTAGTGCTAGGTAAACAGAGACTTGTGGAGTAAGGAAACTTGCCTGAGATTTTGCATTGCTCAGGAATTGAACCCGGGTCCTCACGCTTGTGAGGCGAGTTCTCTAACCAATATGTTACAGACAACGAACATTTATAGCTCAATTTCTATCAAGACCTAGAACTCAACAAACATGATGAGAAAAGGGATTGTAATGGAAACATAAAATGCCCTGTACCATTTTCTTCAGCTTCCTCAATTTTCTCCTCTCTGTTGTCGCCTTGGTCAGTAGGAGCCCTGCTAGCATACGCTCGCTTTAGTCCCAGGAAGAGAAGTAGGAGTGATGGAAGGATCTGGTCAGCCACTGCGCCTACCGCTTCTGGCCTGTTCTGCATTTGCATCAGTGTGCTTAGTCCAAGAATACACACCTTGCGGTCGTGGAGCCTACCAACACAAGCACAAAATCCAAAAGACGTTCAAGAGAAGTGCTGATCAGACAAACTGTTTTCTCTGCGACTACCGTTTAAAAAGAGGCGAGGAATTTTAGCTCTCGTGGAGCAATAGTGAATTTGAAAGGATAACTGAGGTTTTAATTACTTTGGTTTTTATTTATTCCAATTTCAGCAATTTATTTTTATATAGCACAACTGGCAATGAACTTATACTGCATATGTGCTCTCATTTCCATGAGATTCAAACCAGAGCAGCTGATTATCTTGTTTTTGCTGTGAAATTATGATCGTTCTATTCTCGTACCAGATAACATTATTGTGTGAAAAAAACACATTCCTGGTGTTGATGGCTGACTTCACGGCAACAGTGATGTTCTCTGCCAATCAGGATACAAGAATCCCTCCCAGTCCACATCCTTCCCATTTTCTTTTAGTCTTCATTGATCGAGCAATAAACCTTGCATTTGGAAAAGTACCTATCTCATTGGGAGGATGTCTAAAAGCACAGGGTTTACTGCAAAGTGCAATGGCTGTGTATGCGAGGTGAATGATGCAGGTCAATTGCGTATTGTCCCACATGAAACAAATCACCAATTTGATTTCTGATCTACAGCCTCTGCTCATTCCCTCAGTCCACCCCTGTGTATTGGGAAAGGGTTAATCAAAGAAGCAATAAGGACCTTAGCAAACATGTATGTCATGGGTGTCAGCGCTAACACTCAAGTGGACTGACTGTATTTCTGAATAAGAAGGTTTTGAGTCCACCCCCACATCGGGTTTGAACTCGACAGCATTGACTGCTACCCCAGAACAATACCATTGGCATTGGCAGACAACATTGACATCCACAATGCAATATCAGTCCTGAAAATGAAACCCAAAACCAACTATTAAAATCCTTGTCAAAGGTCACGAATTTCCTGAACTCACACAAAATACTGACAAATTAAACTGCTTTGCCTTCAGTAACCATCAAGAATTTCCTGCTCTCCTGAGCTGCTGAATGATGTTACCGGAAGCTGAATTGTGAGGACTATGACTGGTCTGTACGACAATGCATAACTGCACAATAGCATTTTACAATGTTAAAAGAATTGCTGACGGTTCATGAGTCTAACTACACTGAGTCGACAGTTTTTCAGTTGAGCAAACTGGCACAAATTAATATATAAATGTAAGTTGTTGTTGTTTGTGATCTCTAATACCCACTCAAATCTATAAACGGAACACAGATGACGTATTGCACGCTACGCGTCTCCAAAAGCAAGTGCCATCCACTCACATAAAAGGCCGCATTCAAAATTTGATCAGGAGCATTTCATCTGAATTATGTTCCTGGCAGAACCTTACCACAAACAGAGAAACCTACAGGAGAAAAGGTGCATTTTATTCTCAGTGCTTCTTGGAGGTCTTTTGTTTTATCATGGTGGAGTCCTGCAGCTCAGTGGTTAGAACACTCGCCTCACAAGTGAGAGACCCGGGTTCAATTCCCAGCAGGGCAAAATGTTGGGCAAGTTTCCTTACTCTAAACCCCTGTTTAGCTAGCAGTAAGTAACAACTTAGTTGTTAGTCGATTGGGGGAACGCTTTTTTGGGGATAATAATAATAATCCTTGCATTTGGTATAGCGCTTTTCACGTCTTCTCGACATCTCAAAGCGCTTCACAGAATATGCTGTAAAGTGAATTGACCGTATATTTGTGGGCAAAATGCGGCAGCCAATTGCACACAGCAGTGTCCCACAAACAGTCGTGGATTGAAAATGACCAATTTATTATAATTCCTTCAAAAAAATAATAATAAATTGGTCACGTCAATCTACAGCTGTTTGTGGGACACTGCAGTGCTCAATTGGCTGCAACGTTTCGCCCACAAAATATACAGTCAATTCACTTTATTCTGTGAAGCACTTTGAGACGTCTCAAAGACGTGCTAAGGTGCTATACCAAATGCAAGGATTATTATTATTATGATGCTAGGGATGGAGATCAGAACTGCTGGGTGGCTTCTCCGTGACTCCTCATGCAGGGTAGCGTCCCAGAGTGCTTGACCTTGACAGAGCACAATGCCAAGCTGGGGGGGAGGGGGAGGCAACCATAGGCACGGTTAAATAGGAAGGTCTTCAGGCAATGGAATTTTGGATCAACTGGATCTTGCGCACGGTGGAGTTGAGGAGACCGGCAAAAAGGGCATTTGAGAAGTCAAGTTGGGAGGTGACGAACACATGGACAAGTGTTTTGGTTGTGTCTGGGGTAAGGTACAGTCGGAGGTGAGCAATCGGACGGACGTGGAGGATGGCGGTCCTGGTCATGGATTGGATGTGGGGAAGGAAGGACTTCAAAGTTGCGCACTGGTTCAATAAGTCTGAGTGATAGGCCAGGGAGGTTGAGAAGGTCAGAGCCGCAGGATAGAGGATGTTGACGGGAGCCAATGAGTATTGCTTCTGTCTTGTCAACATTCAGTTGTAGGAAGTTTTCGCTCATCCAGGCCCTGATGTTCGCCAGACAAGCCGAGAGAACATCAGCAGACCTGGAGTCTCTGCTGGAGGAGGAAAAGTAGATTTGTCTGTCACCCGCATACATGTGTAACTTTGTCCCATGTGAACTGGTTTGTTAGGTAGGACTTCAACCAGGCTAGTGCGGTCCCACTAAAGTGGATGAGGGAGGAGAGGCGGTGGATGAGGATGGGGTGGTCTACTGTCAAGTGCAGTGGAAAGGTCCAGTAGGATGAAGGTGGAGGTCACAGAGGGAGAGGACATAGTTTAACTAGTCTGGTCTAACCAGTCACAATAATCCTTGCATTTGATACAGCACCTTATCACATCATTGATAACAATAAAAACTTTCATTCATATAGTACCCTTCACACGGGGTAGCAAACCAGAGTGAGAAATCAAAGCGCTTCACAGAATATAATGTATATTTTGTGGGCGAAAGCAGAGTTAGGCTCAAAAGGGAACCTTAATGACACGAGTATAAATACTCAGCACGCAACGGATTGATCACATGCAAAAAGCTTTAAGTATCCTCCTTTAAAAGGATTTCTGAACTGGGTTTCCAGACTTTCCCACACACCCCTCCACTGCCAGGCAAACAAAGACCTTATCCTCAAATCTCAAGGTCTGTTCTCAGGAACACTGTGAGTTGCAAAACGGTCATGTTGATATAACAGGACCTGCAATGGATTATAAAGGCCCTCAGCAAGCCATTTTGAGTGTTCATGTAGCAACCAGCTGCACGGTATAATCTGGGTTCAACCAATTGCTCACGAATCTCAGCAGTTTTTTTGGTAGGGTCAGCCAGGTGTCTGACACATGCAGAAACCCATCATCATGCTTAAGATTATTCAAACCAAATTTAGAATTCTGTACATCCCACCAACACATGTAAATTCCTGAGATACTTAGTGGAATGGAATGCACGCTCTCTCTGGACGGATGCATCCTGCTTACCTAATTCCGGAAAGTATTTGGTGCAGGTTGGCAAGAGCCAAGCCTTGGGGATACCAGAGTGTGCATTAGGGTACTGCTGGAGTCTAACCAGCTTAAACCGCACAGCTTGCCATTGATATCCCTGTCTGGCAAACATTCTCGCTGCTTGACTAGCAAGGACCAGCCCACCTGTTAGGGCTTTGGGTAGCAGGGTTAACAGGAGCCGAGTGGATTGATTCCCTACAACAACAACAACAAGATTCCATTTATTGAGCGCCTTTCACGTCGGGAGGACGTCCCAAGGCGCTGTACAGTTGGGTCAGGACCCGAGCAAGGGGGAAATGGTCAGGGTGAGGGGAGGGAAGGGAGGGAGCGAGGAGGGGGTAGAGAGTCGAGAGGGGAGCTGAAGGCACGGTCAAAGAGAAAGGTCTTGAGACCGGCCTTGAAGGAGGAAAGGGAGGAGGCGGCGAAGGCACTGGGGGATGGAGTTCCAGAGCCTAGGGGCTGAGAGGCTGAAGGCCCGGCCACCGATAGTAGGGCGGTTAGGGCGGGGGATGTGGAGCAGACCGGAACCAGAGGAACGGAGGGTACGGGCGGGTAGGTAGGGGGATAGTAGGTTGGAGAGGTAGGAGGGAGCAAGGCCGTGAATGGCCTTGTAGGTGAGGGTGAGGATCTTGAATTTGATCCTCTGGGGGATGGGGAGCCAGTGGAGGCGAGCGAGGGTGGGAGTGATGTGGTCGCGAAGCCTGGTGCGGGACAGTACACGAGCTGCAGAGTTCTGAATGACCTGCAGCTTGTGGAGGGAGGTGCCGGGAAGGCCGGCGAGGAGAGAGTTCCCATAGTCCAGCCTTGAGGTGATGAAGGCGTGGACCAGAGTTTCAGCAGCATGAGGGGTGAGGTAGTGCGGTAGTCTTGCGACATTCCGGAGGTGATGGAAGGCGGTGCCAGTTGTGGCGCAGATATGAGGAAGAAAGGACAGCTCAGGGTCGAACAGAACCCCGAGGTTCCTGATTGGCTTTGAGAGGTGGAGAGTGCAGCCTTGGATGCTGATGCTGTCAGCGCCTGAGGTGCGGAGGCGCTGACGTGAGCCAATCAGGAGGGCCTCAGTTTTGCGCACGTTGAGCTGGAGAAAGTTATCTCTCGTCCAGGACTCGATGTCGGACAGGCAGGCTGTCAGGACATCGGTGGTCGTGGAGTTGAGGGTAGAGGAGGAAAGGTAGAGTTGGGTGTCATCCGCATACATGTGGAAGTTAACCCCATGTCTGCGGATGATGTCACCAAGGGGGAGCATGTAGAGGGTGAAGAGGAGGGGACCGAGGACAGAGCCTTGAGGGACACCGCACGAGACAGTGCGGGGGGTGGAGGAAAAACAATTTGAGGAGAGAAAGTGAAGACGGTGGGAGAGGTACGACCTAAACCACTCAAGGACAGGGCCTTGAAGGTTTAGGTGGGAGGACAAGCGGTGGAGGAGGATAGAGTGGTCGACCGTATTGAATGCTGCCGATAGGTCGAGGAGGACGAGGAGGCAGAGGGAGCCCTGGTCACAGATGGTCAGGATGTCATTGGTGACCTTGACCAGGGCAGTTTCTGTGCTATGGGCAGCACGGAAACCCGATTGAAGGGGTTCGAATAGTGAATGGTTGGAGAGGAAAGAGCGCAGCTGGGAGGCGACAACTCGTTCCAGGACCTTGGATAGGAAGGGGAGCTTGGAGATGGGCCGGTAGCTTGATAGCTGCGACGCAGATTCCCTACCCTCTGAGTGGGATGATTCACTCCCCTCAGCAGGTTGGTGAGACATTACTGGGCACAAAATAGCTGCCATTTTCACTTACAAATATACAGACACAACTCTTAACAGTAAAATTCTAGGAAGCCCTTTGAGACTATGTTGGCATGATAAAGAGCTATTTCAGAAGACAGGATTATTATGATTTTTGTTTTTATTTTCAATGATCTTAAGAAGAATCTGAAGCTTCAATTTGTGTCTTCTCAAGAAAAAGTTTCACTCAATTCATCACCTTTGACCCCACACACTTTACCCTTCATTTTGATGACAAGACATCCTAAACACACTAACGTTCCTACCGCTGAGTGCCAGCGATGCGTGTCAAAGGTAAAAAGACATTTAATAATTTTGACACAAGAAAGACAGGATTTGCTTTACCACAATATAGCTTTTGACAAAATGACAACATTTCGGTTCAGTTTATGTCACATTTGACATCTGGCAAGTGATAACAATGAGGCCAATACTTTAAGCTATCATCAGCTGTTAAATTCTTTTACATTCAGCCATCATGGTGAATTTGAGCTTTTTGTCAGCCCAAGGTGAACTTTTTATGTTTGCTTTCACAGAAGATGCTCTGATGCACCAAACAAGCTTAAAAAGTTATCAAGAGCACAGTGTTCACTTACCCAAGGAAACAATCCGTGTCATTCATCCACTGGTTAATGAACTGTGCAGTTATGGGCTCTGAACTGTGTGAGAAATGAATATTTTCCAAAGTGTTCACAAGCAGGCTGGGGCTGTAGTATAATGCTGCAATGGCCACCTGAAGACACATTGTACGGAGTTCACTTGTCTTAACCCCTCGCGTCAAACGTTCCAGAACGGCTTCGACAAACAGTGGAATACACTAATAAAAGGAAAAAAAGCAATATATATTCTGGTCCACATTCCTGAAGTGAAACTGAACTCATTCTGAACTGCACTAATTTCAACAAGGCACAATCTTAAAGTAATAACAACAACTGAACAGTAACATTACATAATCTTATGCACTCAGTTCCATCACCGCAAATCTCCTGCAATATCAATGCAATTTTGTGAAATAAGTTTTTAGTGTAAAGAATGAGGGCTGGTTTGCATCTTCACTAATAACGATGGGGGCTCTTTCAAAACCTCTGAAAAATAGCTCAGTTTTTATAACACAAGGAGAGATGGATGAGCTGCACCACATACAGAAGAAATTTAATGATATATCCTAGAGAAAATTGAAAATCCAATGCAGAAATGCCACTGGAATGATTAATGGGAATTAACAGGCAACTGGTGGCTTCAAGCAATACTGAATTCTATGTGAAACATTGATGTTCGTTTCCAAGAAGAGAATAGGCTACTGGCATTTAACCCAGGTGAGATTCATCCAACTTGCCAGATATTCTCACCAATAAATCATTGGTGCAACTTGGAATACTTGTGCAGTTCTAGTCGCTGCAGTATAAAAAGGATATTGCAGGGATCAAGAGGATACAGGGAAGGGCAACCAAAATGATTGAAGGGATAGAAGGACTGGATTATGAGGAGCGATTAAGTAAACTAGGCATGTTCACAAAGAAAAAGTTTAGATGTGATATGATTACTATTTTTAAGAACCTAAAGGGACAGAACAGTAGAACCAGAGGACTGACATGGCCTACGATTGAAGAGGAGTAAATTCAAAACAAATCTGCGGAAACACTATTTCAGTGAGAGTGGTAAATTTATGGAAGAGGCTCTCTAGGGAAATCGTGGAAGCAGAAAATGTCAATTCATTCAAATGGATAAGATAGATTTATTTTAGAAAATAATATTTTGGGATACAGTATATGAGTAATTTGAGACATGATTAATGTAGTATGCTTAGAAGTACTAGGCAACCTTGGATCTAAGGTTTGCAAAGTTTTCTACTGTGATGGTAGACTAATTCGTACAGAATTAATTGCCATCAACATCTCCAATAATGTAGCATGCAACTACCATAATTGTAAAGAGCAGACAAGATGGACCATGGTGTTTTTTTATCTAGCAATTCCTATGTTCCTATTCCATCTTTTGACAGCCTTCAACCGAGCTCTAAGCTGTATGAGGATGATATTTTGAACACACTGTGATAGCTCATTCACAATTTGTGCTAAACAATTGCGCACAGCAATGTCCAACAAACAGCTATTAAATAAATGGCCAATTTTGTCTGTGCGATTCATTGGCCAGAACACCAGGAGAGAGAAACTCCCTTCTCTTTTCCAAATGAGCCTTGGGATCCTAAACTTTCACCTGAATTGGCAGATGGGACCTCGGTTTATCATCTGATTCAACGGACGGCACCTCTGACAATGGAACGTCCCCCCACCATTGTATTGGAGTGTAAGTTTAGACTATGTGAGTTCAAGTCCCGACTTCGGACTTGAACCCACAATCTTCACAGGCGAGTGAGCCAAGCTGACACAAGTAATGTTAGTATGTGTGTGTGTTTACATACATTACCTAAATAACAAGAAAAAAGTTAGTTTAAGGTCGGTAAAGGGGAGCAACCAAACAGAATGGATTCAAAACAATCTGATCAAATGGCTGATCAAATAGTTAGTTCATCTATGTGTTCAGGTCCTCACACAGCAACATGCAAACATCAGGCAGAAAAAATCTCCACTCCCACAGAGATAAATCATGTGTAAAATTTCCAGGCGGTCCAATTACAGGCAAAATATCTGACCTGATTTCACTGTGAAAATTAAAACTCCCGATTTTATCTCTGGGATTGTGTGCAAGTTCACCACAATACCTGATCAATTCCCTTCCCTTGACACTGAAGGATGATGACTTCAAGCAATTTAGCTGCATGGCACTCGGCATCCTCTCCTGCATCTCCTGCCAGGACCTGAAAGCAGACACCACAGAGTTACACGCTGCATGAATCAGTAGGCTTCATTAGAAATAGTAAGCCTTACATTTACAGCCCCTTTCACATTGGGACAAAATCCCAAAGTGCTTCACGGGATATACTGCATTGTAAACGGAGTGACTGTTTTGTGGCGATCGCAGCGCACAGCAATGTCCAACAAACAGCAATGGAATGAGTGACCAATTTTATTGCCCAGCGCCCAGCTGTCCTCCTGACATGAAAAGTGCTATACAAATGTAATTTTGTATTGTATTTGGGAAATTGTTGGCCAGGACACCAAAAGAAATTCCCTTCTCTTTTTGAACATTGCCATGGGAACTTTAATGTCCACTTGAACAAGCAGATGGGGCCTCAGGTTAATATTTCATCTGAAGGATGTCATTTCCGATACTGCAGCACACTCCCTTTCACTGTAGAAGTGTCATCTTACACAACCTAAATTCCAAGTCCGATGTGGGGTTTGAACCCACAATCTTCTGATTCAAGAAGTGAGGGTGCAACCAAATGAGTCAGACTGAAAAGTGACTAATAGCTGCAAATGTGCCGCGTCATGTACCAGTTAAAATAATAATAATAATCCTGGCATTTGATATAGCGCCTTATCACGTCTTCGAGATGTCTCAATGTGCTTCACATAATATACTGTAAAGTGAATTGACTGAATATTTTATGGACGAAACGAGGCAGCCAATTGCATACAGCATTGTTCCACAAATAGTCGTGGATTGAGTGACAAATTAAAAGGAAAAAAACTTTTTTTTAATTTCTTTATCTAAAAATGCAGAAGAGACTAAATGAATAACAAATCTGAGAAAATGACTGGAAACTGGAGAACACTTCTGAAACCAGTGAATGCACACACTGATGGACTCCCCAGCAGTTCTATTGAAGACATTAATTTGACTCACTCAGGAATGCCACAATGCATCAGTGCTGGAAGCCCCTCAGGTAGAGGGAGAGTGCTTTCTTCAAGCAGAGGCAAAGGTATTTCCATCAGGTATGAGATTTAGAACAAGATCAATCTGCAGTAAACATGGCAGGAGTGGGTGAATAAATAAAATAGTTTTCATATAGACTCAGGCTTCCAATTGCATGGCAGAAAGAAAGATAGTCACACACTGTCTTGCTTTATTGTATTTGAAAACTAACTAATCAAAAGGGAAGTTTTCTTGTATTTTCCTTCTCTTCTCGAATCACCAAATGTGCTGGTTTCCTGTTGCTGAGAACTATATAATAGTAATAATCCTATTCGATATAGCGCTTATTACAACGCTGAGGCTTCACAGGATAAACTGTAAAGTGCTGGGACTATGAAGTTTGTGGGCAAATGCAGCAGCACATATTTTATGGGCGAAACAACGCAGCCAATTGCACAAAGCAGTGTCCCACAAACTGAAACCGTCTTGGAGCAAGTGACCAATTTTGTCTGGGGATTATTGGCCAAGAGATCAGGAAAAAGTCCCCTATCTTTTTGAGCCGTAGTGTGTGATCTTTAACATCCCCCTGGACCGGTACAAACGACACCTCCGTTTAATGTTTCATCAAAATGACAGCACCTCTGATAATGCACTAGTTTGTTAGCAATTTTGCTATTCAAACTATTTCAAGCTAAGATTTTAGAAGAGGTTATGTGAGTTTTTATTTCCCTTCAAATGAGTGTTGGAATCTTTCTGAAGGGGAACCTGTTGCTATATGGAGTGTGAAGCTTTCTCACGAATTGACTAAAAACATGTCACTCACCACCAGGGATTATTTACTGTGTCATTAATAACCGTGGAATTATCTTGACATCTCAAACAATATCAGTGTTGTGACTGGATCTGAAAAGGGCAGGTCATGAAAATATTATAAAGCAAAAGAAAGTCAGGAGGATAAAGCATCAATAGCTACAGAGGGAGGTGTCTGTATGTGTGCTGAACGCAATGTACTCTTGGTGCACTTAAAATTCTAACACTGATGCCTTTCATCTGCATGAGATTCCCCCCTTCACCAAACATTCACAGTACGTTCACAGTGCCCACCCCAACCCCCCGACACACCCCACACAATCACCTACTTAAGAAACATCAATGAAGAAAAACAAATATGTTAATTTAAAGGTGTAAAACATGAAATGTCTTCCGAAATCCAGATATTGGAATATGTGTTGAGACTGAAGAAAAGAAGATTTGAAACAGAATATTCCCCTTTTAGCCACAAAAGTGACTCGAGTGGCAATGAGAGTTCAGTGAGTTGCAACATTGCTGTGGATGGGAGTGTAACAGATCAAGTTGCTTGATTCTCTCTTTCTTTATTTTAACGTCAAGGCAATCCAGCCCAGACTAGTGGCATGTAAGTGTTGATTCCTTAATGGTTGTAAAGTGTCCCTGTGAAGTACGTCTGACTCGGTTCTAGTGAGGAATTAGCTTACAAAATAAAATAGCCTACCCTTGGTGTTAATTCACAACACCAACAAATAAGGCAAAAAATACTGCAGACTGAAGCATTGAAAGGTCATCCTCTGAAGTTCGGTGGAATTGTGTCAAGTGTAACAGCAGAGTGGAGATTAAATTAGGCTACTTCTATGCCTGAGCTGTAGGTGGCCAATTTGAGCAATACAATACAATGCAAATGTACATTTATTTATACAGTGCCTTTCATGTCAGGACGTCATCCCAAGGCAATTAACAATACTAGCTGGGCACCCGAGCTCAGAGTGGAAGTGAGGGGGCGGGGAGAGGAAAAGATGACCGAAACCCAATAAAGATGTAGGTCTTGATTCGAAACTTCAATGAGGTGAAGGAGGGATCGAGTCAGAGGGACTCTTGGATGGAGCTCCAGAGTACTTAAGGCCCACCTGACAATGATGGCGCACAATGATGGGAACACAAAATATTAATGGAGCACGACATCGAAAAAACGCCTTATTCACCTATCGGGCTTTCCCCCTGCAGACATTAAAGAGTCCTGTAGCTCAGTGATTAGAGCACTCGCTTTGCAAGCGAGAGACCTGAGTTCAATTCCAGGCAGAGGGCGAAACCTTGGGCAAGTTTCCTTACTCCACACAGAGCCTAATAATAATCCCTCCAAAACCAAAAACAATAATAAATTGGTCATTTTCAATCTACGACTGTTTGTGGGACATTGCTGTGCGCAATTGGCTGCCACATTCGCCCACAAATATACAGTCAATTCACTTTACAGTGTATTCTGTGAAGCTCTTTGGGACGTCCTCCCGACGTGAAAAGCGCTATATCAAATGCAAGGATTATTATTATTAATAGCATACCTTCTTGCACATGTTATAAACGATCTCCACGTTTTTCGGATTGGACAGAAATGCATCTGTGTCTACGGTCACATAATTGTGTAAAACTGGCATCATATCTGAAAGACAGGAAAATACAAAGGAATGGCAACAGCACAAACATTTCACAATGAGAATATTGCTACTGTACAGTCACATTAAATAGTCTTCAATTCTCAAATGAAGACACCAACAATTCTGTTTGCAAAGTAACCACCGAATACAATGTAAATCTTTCTCTTTGCTGTAGTGGGCGGGAAGTTAAAGGAATAATTACACAAAGGAAAGCTTCAAACAATAAAATATACAGTCACTACACTTTACAGTATATTCTGTGAAGTGCTTTGAGATGTCTCAAAGACATGATAAGGCGCTATATCAAATGCAAGGTTTATTATTTATTATAACAAACGACCTTGTGCACACACCTGTATGTATATATACACATCAACAACAAATGTATATTTGTACGGTGTCTTTCACATCAGGAGAACGTCCCATGGCACTGGGTTTGCATTCAACATGGGGGTGGGAGCGAAAGATGACCTAATGCGGGGTGAGAGGAAGGTCTTGAGGCAGATGTTGAATGAGGCAAGGGAAGGGGCATGGGCGAAATAAGAAGGCTGAAAGCCCAATCGCCATTGCTCGAGCGGGGGATATGAGGAAGGATGGTGCCTGCTGAGCGGAGGAAGCAGCAGATTTGAGAAGGTTACAGAGATGGGTTGTGGCATAAACTGAATGTATGCACTTGAGACCTGCACAACAAAATTATTTTGTAAGGGCCAAGGCTGTATGACAATATTTCAGTTTGTGAGATTGAGGTTTGTCAGGCAATTAGATACGCCCACTGTCATATACCCCATGTGAAGGGAATTATAGAAATGCAAGTTGTTGTTGTCGTCAAAAGACCAGGAGCAGACGTTTGGCCCAAACATTTATAAAAATAAAACAATCCTTGAATTCAGTATTGCTTCATGCCTTCGACTTGGGCAGGACATCTCAAAGCAGTTCCCAGGATTTACTATAATGTGCAGTAACTGTTGCTTGTAGGTGACAACAGGCAAACCAACGCAAGAGTGTGGTTTCAAATTTGCCCTATAAATGTTAAACATATGCAAACTGAAAATAAGTTTGGAGAGAAACTGAAGTTTGGAAAACAACAACAACAAGATTACATTCGTATAGCAAAATTTAAATTTAAAATTTTAAATCTGTAGCAGGTCACATTTTTAACACTTTAAGGTTTAATTGCCTGGAAATACCTGTGAAGTATTCAAAGCAGTCTTGCTGGAAGACCTCAAATAAAACACCCAAGAGCTGCCACATGTTGGGAGAGATGATTTGACATGTTAAGCTGTATGCCAAAGAGAGAACCTCTTCATAAAACTCTGGGGTGGGGGGGGGGGGAGAGAGACAATGGTTACAAGTTATTTGAGAGCAGAACTGGGAGAACCTGTAAGAAAAACACTTATTTCATCAACTGAATACTGGCAAAGTAGTTGCATCAAAATAAAGATTTTTGAGGTTGTTTCATTAAGTTAGTCTTTTCAATTACAGCCCACAAACTAATGAGATCTGACACCCTTCTCATACAATGAGCTATTTCAGTTGCGCTGTCAGGAAGGGAAAGCAACAGGAGCAGCAGAGATATGATGCTTCCCAGAAGGGCAGGATAAAAGGGGATGTGTAAAGCCAGCCCGTTCTGCTAGGTCCATTCATCATGCTGTGTCCAGATCAATGTTGAATTTACATGAAGTCTACATTGATCCAGAGATGAGTGATCGGTGGTGGGTGATATTTGGTACAAAGGACCTCAAGCTTCCCAAGCTGGTGGGTTTTTTTTTTTTAAATCTTCTTCTCCCACATCAACTTACATCTGCATTTGTATAACGTCTTTCACGTCGGGAGGACGTCCCAAGAACCTGGACAGTCAAGGATTTGTACCCGAACTAGGGGTTGGGATCAGGAAGGGTGGAGGGCAGGGAGGGTGGAGGCAGAATGGTGGAGCTGGCAGTGCGGGGACGTGAATGATGCAAGAAGCTATTAAGACAAGAAAGTTACCAACATCTCAGCGTCATCTTATTAAACAGGCAAAGGGGCAGATTAAAAAAAGATGATCTTATCTTCCTTTCTTATTCTCGTCCTGTTCTGATTTTAAAGTCACTTTACCCTGCACTTTGCGCCTCTGTTTTTTCTCTCTCCGGAAAACAAGATTCCTTTCTCCTTGCCGTGAGGTACAGCTCCTCATATGTTCTCCAGTACCTCATTCAACTGACTATGAATCGTGCGCGATCTTCAACAAGTGAGCATTCAAAGGCTGTTGGTCTGTGGATGAGCCTCATTCGAGTCAGATTCTCTCCGTACTCAACATCCCCACAGGGACCTGGTGTAGCACAAAACGAAGCAAGGGAATGTTCGCCAGTCAGAAGACGGCCTGTTTTGATGAGATGATTTCAGCTGGAATGTTTGATATCAAGTGATCTTAGCTATTATTCCAGCCACTACACAATAAGTTGCTAACACAACATCCCAGGCTTAAACAAAGAGGGATCACTTGGACAAAGTACAAGAGAAGGCATCCTCCAACGTGGCAATAAACAAAATCAGACTCTAACATAAACCTTGGCCAAAGCCACTCTGTTGTCAACTTTCTCGCTGCCTCCTCTAAATGTGGGAACATATGTTGGAACATGGATACCAGCAGCCCCTGCCATTTGATTTGAGTGACCAGTCTTCAAACATGACTGGTCACTCAAAGCACTTAAAGGAAGGAAGGAAGGAAGGAAGGAGAGAGAGGAAGGGAGGGAGGGAGGGAGGGAGGGAGGGAGGAAGGGAGGGAGAGAATGAGTGAGTGAGTGAGTGAGTGAGTTTGATCGGGGTTGGGGGGGAAAGGGAAGGAACATGAAGGCTGATCCACTTTTCATGGATCCTTCATATAGCTGCAGTTGATCAATGGTCCAGGGAGAAGGGAACCAACCACCATGGTCTCACTGAGATACCGAGGCTGAAGTCGGCCATGCCAGCACAGACCTGGGATCAAACCTGTCGCTTGCTGTAGCTGAAACCTCCCTCTGTATTTCTATTCCTGATGGAACGATAATCTGTTTGTGTTATATCATCAATCATCCGGAGAAAATGCTGCTCAGAAACTCAATGGTTCCTGAGATGCGACAAGGATAATTAAAATGTAACCCTAACAACCGCTTCACACTGACATGACAAAACAGAATACATGGAAGGAAATCCAATTAATCCACCAAATTATTTTGGTATATCACAGGCCGATAGATACAAAAGGTTCATCTAAATTGTTAAAGGCTGAACAATTTCAACATGATTTCACTTTACGTTCATTAGAGAGATAAGCCCCTACCTATCACGCGTTTCTGTAGAACAAGCCCAATGACCTGCAAGCAGATGCCTTCGAGCTGCTGAGTTATCTGGGTGGGAGGGGGAAGGAAAAATACCCAGTTACTCTGAAGCAAATAAAACAACAAAATTATATTTGTATAGCGCCTTTAACATCGGGAGGACATCCCGAGGAGCTGGAAATAAGCAGTTGTACATTATAAACATTACCAATACAAAACTGGAAATCTCAGTTAATAGCTGACAAAAATTTCAACGCAAGTCCAACCTCTTTGATCATGCATTTGGTCTTCTTTCCCACCCCAACTCGCTAAGCTCCCATCCGAAGCTCACATACCCAGACAGCTCTGTTAAACACTTGCACATTTGCCCGCAAAACACACAATCACGTTTTCACTGCACTTACTGCCCTTGACAGTAATTCATGTGAAGCACTTTGGGACATGGGCATTCTCCTGACATGGAAGGCTCTATACTGAATGCAAGGATTGTTAACTATATTATTATTTGGGATATTCTCTTGACATAAAGACGCTGTATAAATGTAATTTGCATTATTCTGTTTTGTAACTTTCATTTGGGAACCACACTTTTGTATGTAGTAATCTGAAGCATGTTTGAAGCCCTGAATGGGTACTTCACACAAAGAGCTGAAGCTTCCAGCATCACATCCAACCCCTGGAGGGTGATGACAGGGATGGGGGTGGAGAGCAGCTTCTGGAGCACTGCACATCCCTGACATACTGATGATTGTGCAGTGCAGTCTGGTTCAGTCGGTCATACTCAGGCTCATTCAGCCTGAGTCAGAAGGTTGTGGGTTCAAGCTCCATGCTGGTACCTGGAATTCATTTTTCCCAAACTGACACTTCAATGCAGTGCTGAGGATATGCTACATTGTCATAGGTGAGTACTTCAGATGAGGCAATAAAAACCGAAGTCTCATCTATCTGGATCAATTGAAATTTTCAAGACTGAGATTAATAGATTTTGAGATACAGATCACCCATGATCTCATAAATAGTGAACAGGCTCAAGGGACTGAATGGCCTACAGCTGTTTCTATGACATCGGGGTCTAGCATTTCTAGTGGAATGTTTTGAGTCATGATCCCGTTTTTCACCCCTTTTGTAAGATCCTTCCCAATCCTTCCTTCAGATGATATATTAAACCAGGGTACCGTTTGCCTATTCAGGTAGGTGTTAAAAGATTCCCATGGCACTATTTGAGAAGAGAAAGGAGTTTCTCTCCCGGTGTCCTCGCCAACAATCCCCCACCAAATAAAATTGGTCTTCCACGACTGTTTGTGAGACACTACAGTGCGCAACTGGCTGCCATGTTTCGTCCACAAAATACAGTCAATCCAATTTACCGTCTATCCTGTGAAGTGTTTTGAGACGTCTCATCAATGTGACAACGGACTATATCAAATGCAAGGATTATTATGATTAAATAACAGGCCTTATCACAACAGCCTGCTTCCAATAAATGGCAGCATCACCGAATGTGGCGAAGACACATTCGAAGAACCCATCAAGCTGAGAATGACCACGGCACAGGAATAACCAAGGCAAACTGTCACTCACCTCCTTGTGGTCCTCCACCACTGTTAGGATGGTGTCGATTGTGTTCAGGACGCCCATGGCCATCACAGTCTTGTCCTCAATCTCTTCATAAGCATCACTCTGAAGAACCTTACTGAATGTCATAGCCTGAGAAGAAAAACAAAATTAGACAATAGTGTAATGCTGACCCCGCTGAGTCATTTAAATAATATAATAACATTAATCCTTGGAATTTGGCTGCCACGTTTCACCCACAAAATGCAGTCACTCCATTTTACATTGTATCCTGTGAACCGCTTTGAGACATCTTGATGAGATAAGGCGCTAAACCAAAGGTAAGGATTATTATTATTATTTGATAGCAGTGCCTCCTCACGCCGTCCAGATGTCTCAGTGTTTCTCAGGATATACTGTTAAAGTGGTGTGACTGTGACTATTTTGTAGGCAAAATGGATATGAGAGATTGGTTGGAATATTATAACGTGAACAAGAATTAACTTGTGTAACAAACAAAAATATCGGAAGCCCTCAGTGGTGCTTCAGTGCACAGGTTGAGCAGTGGGCTCCGAAATTATCACAATCAATTTACTGCCTATTCAGCAGATTCAGCAGGGGTGCACAGCAGAAGGTAGTGAGTGTCTATCTGAGAAATAATAGTGCGAGCCTGGTTTAGCACTCTCACCTTTGAGTCAGAAGGTTGGTGGTTCAAACCCCATGTCCGTGGGCTTGGAACTTATTATAGAACACGGTAGTCCAACCTTTTGGCCCTTGAAGGCTGGATGCCCTATTTGAGAAACGTTCACTGGCCACATAAGCAATATTTTTGTGTTTCCCTTCCAGAATCATAAGATAACCTTTCCTGGTTATGGAGGCAGTGGTTGGGCCAGACGAAATAGAGAATGGGGGGAAGCAAATGTAATCAGCCCGTGAGTCTAAGCTGATACTTCTATGCAGCGCAGAGGTAGCGCTGCATTATCAGACATTAAACCGAGGTAACGTTGGCCAGTGCGGGTGGACTTTAAAGATTCCATGGCATTATCCAAAGGGAAGGAAGTTTCTCTCTCCTAGAGAGTCCTGAAATCCCCAAATAAAGGCACAATACCAAAGACAATGAAGGGAAATCTGCTCTTGAGCTTACCCAAGTTCCAAGATCAGGATAGACTGATAGATGGGAACAAGTTGAAAAATATGAAAATATAGAGGGACTAGGGAAGAGAAATTAAAAATGTATTGCACTGTAATATTAAGATTAAATAATAATAATCCTTGCATCTGATATAGCGCTTTATCACATCTTCAAGACATCTCAAAGCGCTTCACAGAATATACTGTAAAGTGAAATATATTTTGTGGACAAACGCAGTAGCCAATTACGCACAGCAATGTCCCTCAAACAGTCATTGACTGAGTGACCGATTTTTTTTTGAAGGAATTATAAAGCCCGGAAATGAGATCCGCCAATCGACAAACAACTGGGTTCCTACATACTGCTAGGTAAACAGAGGCGTTTGGAATAACGAAACTTGCCAATGTTTCACCCTGCCGGGAATCAAACCCAGGTCTCTTGCTTGCGAGGCAAGTACTCTAAACACTGAGCTACAAGATTTCACCGGTGGGAAAGAGAAGGAGAGTGTAAAAGGAAATTCGGTGTGACCTTCAAGCTTCCTCTAACTCTCCCCTGACATTTGTGCAACAAAAGCAACCGTTCCACGCTTTTGTCTTGCTTCAATACAAACAGTTCAAGCACATTTTTTTAAGTTTTGCATCCCATCATCATTGTGCACAAACATCACGATAGACCTTGGTTCTACCCACTGTTGAGTGTATTTGCTAGAAGCAATGGCAAAACATTACAGACGAGTGCAGAATTTCTCCCAGCCACGTTTTATCGCCTGTAGGACTACAGGGCCACAGTAAAGGCTTTACATGATAACATCTTAACAAATCAACCGGAGATACATTGAAAGAAGAATCATATTTGGTCAGCCAGGTGCCTGACACACGTGGAAACTCATCATTATGCTTCAGAGCATCTAAAGCAGACCGAGAGTTCCATTTGTGTATGCTTCCTCCACATGGAAATTTCTTTATTTGGCCTGGAATACACACTCTCTGCCTGGCTTCCTGAATTCCAGAGAGAATTAGGCACAGGATGGCAAGAGTCAAGGTTCTTCATCCATTTATACTAATCAAACCAAAATAATGCAAATTTACATTTATATTTTATATAATGCCTTTCACATTGGGAGCACGTCTGAAAACACTGGCTGAGTACCCAACTGCAATCATACCCAGAAAGAAGTGGTTTGACCTATAAGCAGAGGATAGGGGAACTGGGCCTTTTTTCATTCGAACAAATCAGATTGATAGAAGACTGAACTGGGGTCTTTAAAATGCTCAGGGGCCTTGATCGAGATAAATTACTGTAGTTTCAGTGGTCAGTGAGTCAGTGACTTAAAGACATCAATTTAAGATCAGTATCAAAGGAGGAGATGAAGAGGAATTTCTTTACACAGAAAGTTGTGAGGATGCGGAATGTCCTGATCGATATGGAGTTTGAGGCAGGGCCCATATTAGCTTTCAAGAGGGAACGAGACAGATATCTAAAAAGAAGTCACTTGGACCATAAGATAATGAGATGTAGGAGCAGGAGTAGCCCATTCAGCCCCTCGAGCCTGCCCTGCCATTTAATAAGATCATGGCTGATCTTCTAACCTAATTCCATTTACCCCCATATCCGTAATCCCTCTATCCTTTAGAAATTTATCAAACTCAGTCTTGAATATGTTAAAGGACTGAGCATCCATAGCCTTCTGGGGTAGAGAATTCCACAAATTCACTACCCTCTGAGTGAAGAAATGTTTCCTCAACTCAGTTCAAAAAGGCTGACCCTTAATCTTGAGACTATGTTCCCTAGTCTTAGATTCTCCAACCAGGGGAAACAGTCTTACAGCATCTACCCTGTCAAGACCCTTAAGAATCTTATAGGTTTCTATAAGATCACCTTGAATTCTTCTAGATTCTAGAGGAACTAGAATCCCAGGAACCAACCCAGTGTCTACGCTGCACCTCCTCTAAGGCGAGTATGTCCTTTCTTAAATAAAGAGACCAAAACTGCACACAATATTCTAGGTGCGGTCTCACCAAGGCCTTATACAACTGCAGGAAGACTTCCCTACTCTTGTACTCTAACATGGCATTAGCCTTCCTAGTTGCTTGCTGTACCTGCATACTACCTTTTTGTAACTGGTGTACAAGGACACCCAAAATTCTTTGAAAACTAACACTATCTAATCTCTCCCCCTCTAGAAAATAATCTGCTTTTTCTTTTTACTATCTAGGTGAATAACTTCACACTTCCCCATGTTATACTCCATCTGCTACCTTCTTGCCCACTCACCTAGCCTGTCTATTTCCCTTTGCATTCTTCTTGTGTCATCCTCACAGCTTACTCTCCCACCTAGCTTCGCATCATCCGTGAATTTAGATATGTTAAGTTCTATTTCCTCATCTAAATCATTGATATAGACTGTAAATAATTGAGGCCCAAGCACTGATCCTTGTGGCACTCCACTAGTCACATCCTGCCAATCTGAGAAGGACCCATTTATCCCTACTCTCTGTTTTCTTCCCGTTAGCCACTCTCCAATCCATGCTAATATATTACCTTTAATTCCATGGGCTCTATTCTTATGCAACAGCCTTTTATGTGGCACCTTGTCGAAAGCCTTCTGGAAATCCAAATACACCACAACTACTGGTTCCCCCGTATCTATGCTAGTTACATCTTCAATAAACTCTAAAAGATATGTTAAACATGATTTCCCTTCCATAAAGCTATGTTGACTCTGCCTAATCATGTTATGATTTTCTAAGTACCGCACAACGACATCCCTAATTAAGGACTCTAGAATTTTCCCTACCACCGATATCAGACTAACTGGTCTATAGTTCCCCATTTTTTGTCTCCCACCCATCTTAAATAGGGAGGAGTATTGTGAAAAGGCAGGCAATTGGGAGTGAATGAATTGCTCTTTCAAAGATCAGCACCCACATGTTAGCCCAATGGCCCTCTGTGCTGTATATTTCCAAGGTTAACTCAGCATAATCAGCCACATGAGACAAAAGACAAGTTTACCACAGTTGGATCACAATCAAAACCGGTCAGTAGAAGAGTCAAATAATTGAAAGATCTCTCCTGAGTCCGAAGATTGTGGATTCAAGCCCTACATCAAGACTTGGAACCCACATAGTGTAAAGCACAATCTAATGCAGTGCTGGGAGTTTGCCTCATTATTGGAGGTGCTGTGCTTTGAATGAAACGTTAAACCGAGAACCTGTCTACCTGTTCAGGTGGATGTTGAAGATCCCACGTGGAGAGGATAAGATGACCAAAGAGTAAGATCCTGACGCGCCTTGAATGAGGGGAGGCAGGGAGCGAGTTGGAGGGACTCCAGAAATTAAACTCCAGAGAGCTGGGGCAAAATGGCGATTGTGGGGCAAATGGGGTGGGGGGCATGAAGGAAGCTGAAGCAATTGCTCTGCAAAAGGGAACGACCGGAGATCACCTAGGCAGGATGGGATGGAGGTGGAATGAAGGACATAGAGGAGTTTTTCACTGGAAAGAGGGAGCTTTCTGTGAGTAAACTGCACGGCAGTCCTCTGAGTCCCCCAGCGGTGGCCAAAAGAAGTTGCGATCGTCTGACTTGACAGTGAACCACGAAACGCTGCCTCAATTCTCCTACCTCTCTCTACTCTCTCGCTCTTTTTGTTTCTCTCTCTCTCCCTCAATCGCTCTCTCTAGCCCCTCTCATGCACTCTCTAATGCACACTCCCTCTTCTTCTCACACTCTCTCACTCCCCTTTTCACACCCTCTCTTCCCTCTCACATTCCATCTCCCCTCAATCACTCTCTCCCCACTCTCTTCCTCTCTCTCCCCCTCTCTCAAATAATCTCTCACTCCCCACATTCCATCTCCCCTCAATCACTCTCTCCCCACTCTCCTCCTCTCTCTCCCCCTCTCTCAAATAATCTCACTCCCCATCTCTCCCGCGCACACTCTCTATGCCCTCTCAAATTCTCTCTCAATCACTTTTTCTCTGTTTCTTTCTCTCCCCCTCTCCCTCATATTCACTCCACTCCCTCTCTCTCTCCCTCTCTCCTCCCCTCTCACAGTCTCTCTCTCTCCCACTCTCTTCCTTCCTTCCTTCCTTCCTTCCTTCCCTCCCTCCCCTCTTACCCCCTCTCAATCCCTCTCTCTTCTAATCAACCGCTCCGGTCACTATCTGCAGTGAAAGAAGCCAGGGGTTGGTCGCTAAGGACGTGTTTGGTAAGAGACATGCTTGCCTTCTTAACAGACTATAGTAACGGCTGCCATTATTTTCACTTTCCTTGCTGCTTCCTCCCAACTACCAGCTCCTGTCACTGCTCTGGGGATATGTTCGCCAGGGAGGAAGGGAGCAGAAGTTGGAATGTTAGAAATGGTATTGGGGTGGATAAAATCACCTGCTGGGCCTGATGTGGCCCGCAGACCGTTGGACCACGCTGCCCTAAATAAAATTGGCCACCTTTCATGATTGTTTGTGGGAGGAACATTGCTGGGTGCAGATTTGCTGCAACAACAACAACAACAACAAGATTCCATTTATAAAGCGCCTTTCACGTCAGGAGGACGTCCCAAGGCGCTGCACAGTTGGGTCATGACCCGTAAGGGTCAGCTTTCACCTACAAAGTTACTCCACCTTACAGTATACACTGTGAACTGCTTTGATAGATCCGTTTGCCATGAAGGACGTCACACCAAATGTAAGGACTATTATCATAATATCACCAACTGCTCAGGTGTGACAATCACTTACCAAATGCTGCGTCATGTCAACGGCAATGGTGGTCATCTCGTCACTGTATTCACAGATCATCTTTTGAACGACATTGGTCAAGTCGTCATTTTCGGTTTCTCTGACAATATGTAGTAGCTCTTGCATCACTGGCCTGACAGATGGCTTTATGTATTCCTTAGCTGTGGAGCAAATATCAAACACTCAGTTTCAAAATTGCTTCACAATTTCTTCTTTTTTTCAGATATTTGATACAGCTGTACAATGGAGCTACAGTGGAGTCCTGTAGCTCAGTGGTTAGAGCACTCGCTTTGCAAGCGAGAGACCTGAGTTCAATTCCAGGCAGAGGGCGAAACCTTGGGCAAGTTTCTTTACTCCACACAGAGCCTAATAATAATCCCTCCAAAACCCAAAACCAATAATAAATTGGTCATTTTCAATCTACGACTGTTTGTGGGACATTGCTGTGCGCAATTGGCTGCCGCGTTCGCCCACAAATATACAGTCAATTCACTTTACAGTGTGTTCTGTGAAGCGCTTTGGGACGTCCTCCCAACGTGAAAAGCGCTATATCAAATGCAAGGATTATTATTATTATTATAATGGAACACCAGACACCTAAAAGTAAAGTACATCTCATAGAAAAGGGCAGGGAGGGTCTCATAAATGTGGCACTATTTACATCATCTGTCCAGCATCTCCACTGAGAATCTTATAAAAATACATTCTGGTTACATCAAAACTGGCCTGCTCCATGTCCCACCATTAGCTATCGGGTCTTCAACTTTCCTGCCTCCACCCTCTGGAGCTCCATCCCAGAATCCCTCCACTTCACCCCCCATCCCTTGCCTCCTTCATGACCCTCTCTGATCCTGCTTTCGGACACCCTTACAACCACCCTACTCAATTATCAATACTCAATGGGACACTGCTGTACACAAATAGCCACAAGTCAATCCACTTTACAATATATTCTGTGGAGCGCTTTGAAACGTCTTGACAACTTGATAAGACTCGATATGAAATGCAAGAATTATTATTATTAAATAATTATTATTATTAATTTATTCTAAAGTTGTCATTACAGTTTGTATCTTTGATATAGAGACAGGAGCAAGTGTGCGCCACTTCTCACTCAGATCAATAGCAATCAGCTAGAGAATGACCAAGAATTATCCAACCTGCGGGTTTCCAGCTGACAAGATTTTTCATGGCTCGTGTCTCTAGCCTGCTTTTAGATTTGCATCAATATCTCGCTCCCTCCAGGAGAGAGAGAATATAACAATCCCCTTCTTCATCCTCCCCCACACACTTTCAAAATAACTTTCGTCTTCAAAATATTTTTCGAGACTGAAGTTTCAATGTAAGTTCTTAACAAGAAAATCCCGTGCTTCAATCCAGGACCTTTTCTACACCTATACACAATATAAACGCATCTTTTTCTTTATGTTTTCTCAGTTTGGCCCACCCAGCTGTACACACTGAATGGCAATCTGCTCCTCCATCTCTGACCAACCGATTCTGTAACCGGCCACGAGATCAGACCAGCTTATTCTTCCTTACAATTTTCCCTCAGACCAACAATGGGAACTCACCAGGCGAGAAACCTTGGGATTGAAAGCAAATGTATTACTGTACTTGAGTGAGACAGTGACAAGTGCACATTGAAGCCACATGCTGTGCGTCACTGCAAGGATATAATATCATGGCCAGGCTTCTGTACATGTACTCAGAAAACAGAAGGGATCACTAACATTTGTTAATATTTCTGCCTTCTGGCAGCTCAATTCACAAGATACAAATATCACAATATAACGAAGATATCAGAACAGTGAACATATCAGCAACTTGTGCATGGAAACAGGACATAGTTTCTTTTAAAAGAAGCTAACACTGTTTTCAGTACCAACACTGACATCATCTGTATTTTCGAGCTGAGTGTGGAAGTCACTTTCAATAACAATTGGAAGGTTTCCAACATCATACCGTCACAGCTGAGAAATCTCGTCGCAGTCCGCAGTCCATGAAATGGCCTGACACAACTCTATCAACCAAACCGTTGAACTTACAGTTCACAATTCCAAAGAGGGGCAAAAGCTATTCAAAATAATAATAATATTACTTGCAATTGATATATCACCTTATAATGTGCTATATCAATTGCAAGTAATATTGTACCTTTTAGCACCTGGCAAAACAAATAACTAGGGAGGTAGACAGAGCTTTAAACTGATAAGGGGGAGAGGGAGGGTTACGGTTAAATGTAAACTCGCAAAGCGAATAAGAAAAGTCAAGGCTGCAGAGCAGAGTAGCGACTTGGGAAATAAAGAACAGAGTGGGTCAAGTATGGACAAAGAGTTTAGCAAAGAAAATAGGGCATTAATGAGTAGAGGAAATAGTAAAAAGTTAAAATTAAAGGCGCTATATCTGAATGCACGAAGCATTCGTAACAAGGTAGATGAATTAATGGCACAAATAGAGATAAACGGGTATGATCTAGTAGCCATTACTGAGACGTGAGTACAGGGAGACCAAGGTTGGAGCTGAACATTCCAGGGTACCTAATGTATAGGAAGGATAGGTAATATGGAAAACATGGGGGGGTGTAGTCCTATTAATAAGGGATGAGATAAAAACAGTAGAGAGGAAGGATCTTAAGTCAGAAAATGAGGATGTAGAATCGGTATTGGGTGGAGCTAAGAAATAACAAGGGGCAGAAAACACTAGTAGGAGTAGTTTATAGACCTGAATAGCAGTTACAGTATTGGGCAGAGTACTAATCAGGAAATTAGAGTAGCATATAACAAGGGTAATAATAGTGGGTGATTTTAATCTTCATATAGGCTGGGAAATTGGTAGAAGTAAATTAGGGGATGAGTTTATGGAATGCAGTAGAGATAGTTTTCTAGAACAGTATCCAAAGGAACCAACGAGGGAACAGGCTATCCTTGTTCTTGTATTGTGTAACGAAGCAGGGCTTATCAGTAATCTTGAAGTTAAGGCTCCTCTAGGGCAGAGTGATCATACTATGATGAAATTTAATATTAAGTTTGACAGTGATGTAGTTAAGTCCGAAACAAGGGTCTTAAACTTAAATAAAGCCAACTTTGCAGGTATGAGGGACAATTTGGCTAAAACAGATTAAAAGATATGATGGTAGACAAGCAATGGCAAACATTCAAAGATATATTAGATAATTCCCTGCAAATGCATATTCCCTTGAGAAATAAAATTTCCATGGGAAAAGTGGTTCAATCATGGCTAACTAGAGAAGTTAAGGAAAGTATAAAATTAAAAGAGGCCTATAATATTGCCAAAAAGAGCTGAAAACCTGAGGATTGGGAGAGTTTTAGAGATCAGCAAAGGATAGCCAAGACTGATTAAGAGGGAGAAAATGGAATATGAGAGTAAACTAGCTAGAGATATAAAGTCAGATTGTAAGAGCTTGTACAAGTATATAATGAGAAAGAGATTATCAGTAATCTTGAAGTTAAGGCTCCTCTAGGGCAGAGTAAATATGGGTCCCTTGCAGGCACAGACGGGAGAAATTATAATGGGGAATAAAGAAATGGCAGAGTCACTAAACAAATACTTTGCTTCTGGCTTCACGTTGGAAGATACTAAAAACTTACCAAAAATAGTGGGGGACCAAGAGACTGATGTTAGTGAGGAACTTAAAGAAATTAATATCAGTAAAGTAATAGTACCAGAGGAATTGATGGGACTAAAAACTGATAAATCCCCTGGACCTGATGGCCTGCATCCTAGGGTTTTAAAAGAGGTGGCTGCAGGGATAGTGGATGCATTATTTTTGATCTTCCAAAATTCCCTGGATTCTGGAATGGTTCCCATTGATTGGAAGATCACAAATGTAACATCGCTATTTAAGAAGGGTGGAAGAGAGAAAATGGAGAGCTATAGATCAATTAGCCTGACATCGGTGGTGGGGAAAATTCTAGAGTCTATAATTAGGGATGTCGTCGGGGGGCACTTAGAAAGTCATAATATATTAGGCAGAGTCAACATAGTTTTATGAAAGGGAAATCATGTTTAACAAATCTTTTAGAAGATGTAACTACCAGGTTAGATGGGGGGAACCTGTGGATATTGTATTCTTGGATTTTCAGAAGGCATTCAACAAGGTGCTACATAAAAGATTGTTACATAAGATTAGGGATCATGGAATTAAGGGTAATATATTAGCATGGACCGAAGAGTGGTTAACAGGCAGAAAACAGAGTAGGGATAAACTAGTGCTTCTCAGATTGGCAGGTTATGACTAGTGGAGTGCCGCAAGGAACAATGCTTGGGCCTCAACTGTTTACAGCCTACATCAATGACTTAGATGAGGAATTAGAGCTTAATATATCTAAATTTGTGCACGATACAAAGCTAGGTGGGAAAGTAAACTGTGAGGAGAACACAAGGAGGATGCAAAGGGATATAGACAGGTTAAGTGAGTGGGCAAGAAAGTGGCAGATGGGAGTATAATGCAGGGAAGTGTGAAGTTATTCACTTAGGTAAAAATAGAAGAGCAGATTATTTTCTAGAGGGGGAGAGACTAGTTAGTGTTAGTATTCGGAGGGATTTAGGTGTCCTTGCACACAAATCACAGAAGGTTAGTATGCAGATACAGCAAACAATTAGGAAGGCTAATAGCATGTTAGCATATTATTATTATTATTATTATTATATATTTATTGCAAAGGGGTTAGAGTACAAGAGTCTAGGGAAGTCTTGCTGCAATTGTATAGGCCCTTGGTGAGACCAAACCTGGAATATTGTGTGCAGTTTTGGTCTCCTTATCTAAGAAAGGATATACTCGCCTTAGAGGGAGTGCAACACAGGTTCACTAGGTTGGTTCCTGGGGTTAGGGGGTTGACCTACGAGGAGAGGTTAAGAGACTAGGCCTATATTCTCTAGAATATAGAGAATTAGAGGTGATCTTATAGAAACCTATAAGATACTTAAGGGTCTTGACAGGGTAGTAGTGTGACTGCTTCCCCTGGTTGGAGAATCTAAAACTAGGGGTCATAGTCTCAGGATTAAAGGTCAGCCCTTTAGAAAAGTTGAGAAAACATTTCTTCACTCAGAGGATAGTGAATTTATGGAGTTCTCTACCCCAGAAGGCTGTGGATGCTCAGTCATTGAACATAATCAAGACTGAGATTGATAGATTTTTAAAAACTAAAGGGATTAAGGGATATGGTGATACGGCGGGTAAATGCAATTAGGTTAGTAGATCAACCATAATCTTACTAAATACCGGGGCAGGATTGAGGGGCCGAATAGGCACTCCTGCTCCTATTTCTTATGTGCTTATTTTCTCATCACTTCGTTAAGCCATCTCAAAGTGCTTCACAGAATATACTGTAAAGTGGACTGACTCTGTATTTTGTCAGCATGCCCTCTAATACTCCCTTCCTCCACCCAACCTCCTTCAACCACACTGACCGAGCTGCTCCGATTGCTCAGCAAGCATCGGCCTGCTTCATGTACCCTGCCTATTGTCTCACCATTGTTGGGAGGGTTTTCGGTCATTCTGCCCCTTCTACAACTCCATCCCAGAATCCCTGACTCGCTTTCTCTCTCCCTCCTTTCGTTTAAGGCCCATCTCAAGACACATTTCTTTGACTGCATTTTCCTTCATCTTTCCCCTTGGCTCCCATCTCCAGCTTGGTGATCAGGCAGTACGAAGGAACTAAATATTTTAAAAGCAGGAGTATGGGGAATAGGCAGGTTAATGGGGCTAAATGGATTGCTCCGTGCTGACAATTTTATGGTTCCCTCTCTCATCGCAACCCACTGACATCTGACATCGAATTTTGCACCATGGCGTAACTGTCTCTCTTCCTTAACCTCCACCCACTGAACAAGAACTCAATTGACACAACTCAGGTGGAGCAGAGGGCGTTGAGGGACGAACAGAAGGCCATCATTATTTTTTGGGGTGAGAGGGTTATTTCCAAACTAATACTAAATCAGACCTCATTGGTGCCAACTGCAATGGTTATCATTGTGGGTTATCACACAAGTACTGCTGACCTGGAACTCACCTTGATCCTGGTTGCTTATTAGTGTCTGCAGTGCAATGGCTGCTTCGACTTTCACAGGCATCTCTTTGTCCTCAATTAAACTTTTCTTGGTCAATTCAACTGCATTTCTTAGGTTGAGGTCATTTGCAAACTTGAGATTGCAAAAGGAGTGAAGGACCCAACAAGCCTAAAAGCATGAGGGCAGACACAACAAACAAATCAGTCCAAGGTGTCAGTAACCATTTTCCTCCTCTTTCTCAATAACCACTGCATCTTTTCCCTCTTGGTTTCCACTGTGCATGTGATTAAAACTGATTCACTTTGGAATATTTCAATAATGTACGAATCTCCCACCGGAGCATTGAGTAAGAAACCAATTTCGTTGATTGAATCTTATCCTGTCATCAGATATGAAGGACACGAAAGGAGAAAAGCATTTGATGTAAATTGCTGTTTTGAAGCTATCCTGAGCTTAGTCAATGTGCATTTTTACACATTCCCTGGGAGACGGACAAACTATGTCACTACAAACTTCATACACTTGGGAGAATGGTTTTGTTGGTGCCTGTGGTAGCGGCAATAGCAGAGATAAAAAAAAAAAGCTCCTTCCCAGGAGCTAGCTAGCTGAACGGGAACCAAAAATGCAAGATACAAATAAAAACTCCATCCTTAGAGGTTATCAAGATGTGCCAAATTTAGATGAATGACTAATTTCAAAAGCATTCAGAAGTGATTCAGAAGGTTTTGTTGCAATTAATGCATCTCAAAAGCATCAGTCTCCAACATATATCAATAGTAGCTTATTTTGAAAAATAAATTAAACTGACTGCCCACCAATAAGGCAGCTTTGCTAAGGGAGGCAATCAGGAAACCCGGTGATTAGCAGATCAGTTTCCATGGATAATAATCCCCCCTCTAAAAAGAATGGTCACTCAATCCACAACCGTTTGTAGAACATTGTTGTGTGTAATTGGCTGTCGCGTTTCGTCTACGAAATGCACAGCCAATCCACTTTACAGTATATTCTGTGAAGTCCTTTAACACGTCTCAACGACGTGATAAGGTGCTATATGAAAAACTGCAAGGAATATTACATTATTTTAAAAACATTTCACACAAGCAAAAGAAGCGCTGTTCAAAGAAACAAACAGATTCCCTTTGTAAAGGGGAAATTGACAACTGCACAATACATTTTGGGGGAGAAAAGGAAAACTAACGTGTCTTTGGGCAAATTTCAAAATGAGAAAAAATACCAAGTGCTAAATATCAGATAAAAATTATTGTTGGAAATTTCAGTTTGTGATTTTTCTTTACCAAATTTCTTGGCCAAAATTCATTCGTAAGTCTTTGGGAGTTGTTGACAACGCAAACAACGCAAGCTCATATCAATGAAATTTAACAAAGATTTTCACTCCAGCTCCCCACGACACACAGGTGTACAAAGTGACCAATGCAGGTATCATTTTCACAAGGAATATTTTATCACTGGAAAGTTATCAAATTCTTTGTGTAATGATAATCAATAAGTAAATTACAAACTACAAAATTTTGCACAGAATTGAAATGATTAAAAAAAACGAGAATCAAGTTACATTAGAATCTCAGGTACGCAGTCATTGCCTCTCTCAATAATATCAGATCAGGCTGTCGAGGCCAGCCAAAAAAAGATACAGAAAGGTGAATGTAAACCAATACAATTTACATTTATACAGCCCCTTTCATATTGGGAGGACATCTCAAAATGCTTCACAGCACTGGTTGGGCACCCAAGCTTTGAGTGCAAGCCAAGGGAGATGTGAAGGGGATAGATGACAGAAAGAGGTACTTTTTGAGACATGCCTTGAAGGAATTTTTAGTTGGGGGTGGTGGGAGTCGGAGGTACTCCTTGATGAAATTGCATAGAGCAGGGGCAGAATGGCTAGAAGCCCGCCCACCCATGGTGGGAAGGGACACAGGCTACAGAGTTCTACATACACTGCAGTTTTTGTAGAGAAGCATTGGGGAGTCCAGCGAGCAGAGTGTTGGGTTATTCAAGTTATTCAAGCCTGAATGTGATAAGATATGAATAAGGGTCTCGGCATTCCAAGGGGCAATCATAGCGGAGGCAGGTAATATATCAAAGGTGAGCGGAAGCTGAGTGGGAAAGAGAACTGATGGTGGGGTTTGAAACAGTTGGAGGTCAAATAAAACACTGAGGGTCTGCACTGGCTCTGCAAGGTGGATTGTGTATCTATAAAGATTGATGTTATCAGCCCCTGAGTTAAAAAGGCACTGATTGGAGCCAAACAAGAGAGCTTCTGTGTTGGTGACATCCAACTGAAGAAGGCTCACCCAAGACCTGATGTTTAACAAGCAGTCAGTCAGAAGAATAGTGACCCTGGGTGCAGGCAGAGAGATTGAGGTGGCTATCATCCGCGGTCACATGGGAGTTAACCATATGTCCTCGGATGATGCTGGCAAGGGAGCATATAGATATTGAAGAGGAGAGGACCAAGGACAGAACCATATGTGACTGTGCAGGGGCGAGAGGAGATCCCGTTTGAAGAGAAATAACAAGGAAACATTAACATAAGAGACGCAGAAACAATCCTAACAAGAGGATATGAGAGGAAATTAACAGAGAGGGTGGTGAGAATGTGGAACTCATTGATGGAAGCCATGGTTGGAGCAGAAAACAATGTATTTAAGAGAAAACCCATGAAAACTTGAGACAGTAGGGAATGGAGAGGTATGAAGGAGGCTAGGGAAGGGGGTGGGGGAATTTAGGATGAGAAGAGGCTCATGTGTCGAAAAATTTCCAGACAGACAAGTTGGGCCGAATGACTTTAGTACTGTAGATTCCATATTGCTTTTTATACGATTTACTGTCAGTGTGGTGTAGGTACATCAAATCTCATTAGTGTTTTGTCAGAAAGAAGAATTAAACTCTTAAGCCGAAAGAACGAGCTTACAAACAGTTCAAACCCTTTATATCCCAAATGACCAGCAACAACAGAAATGAAAGTACCAATTCTTTCGACTCAGGGATATGGAATAACTTATCATGTGAGGCAAACTCGCATAAGTTGTCTCGTTATTAATCGGATAAATGCCTAAGTCGTACATGCACCCAAGTCCCATTAATTTTCCGACCATAAACCACTTAGAATTCTTTGCACTAGTCGTATTTTACAAGTCGGATTAACAGCTAAATTGTGATGATTTATTTTCCTAAATAATCCTAAATCCTCTCCTAACTCGTATCGCTGCTACCCACTTATGGTCCATTGCCGTACAGCATGCACAGTACCACGTGCTGAGTGTGAAACATGGTCAGATTTTGACCGATCACTGCATGCGCATTTAGAAGCTGCACTAATGAGGTACACCACGCGCACCTTTACTGTTTGAAACAAGCGCAGGAAATGAGGTCTTCACCCTTTTGTGTCACAAAAGGCAAACTTAATGTTCCGTAAGTCGTATTTACGGCCGATATAAGTCTGCCCGTAATTCGTACTTCATGCAAGTCATATTAAATGCAATGGTCCCATGTGTTTAAATGTATAATGCTCATTCCTCTGCTCATTCTATCAATCACATTAAAGTTAGTTTTGCAGTTCTCACTTTTAAACAAACACTTAAGAAAGAGTGAAGAAAGAGAGGAAGTGTCAGCCAGTGAATCGCTATATCACAAAATTTACCAGTGTTCCTTACCCTGGCTCGAAGATAGCCCAGGTTTGAGTTAAAGAGGGGAAACACATAATTCTGCAGCATCAACTCCATCTGACCCTTGTACACGTTTTTCTGTAGGTAAAAATACAAATTTAGTTGTCGTTTGCACAGTCATTTGAAGCAATGATAAAAACTGAAACAGTGCAATCTTCAAAGATGACAGTGAACAGGAATTTTAAAAAAAGTGACATTCCAGGACAAGAGAATCAAAAATCTAGCTTAATGGATCAAATCCTCATTTTGTTTGCCACATAACTTAATGTCTTCAACCTAGCACCTAGAAAGTGAACTTGCAATAAATTCAGCAACAGTACTGGGATTAGTATTGCCTATGAAGTTACTTGAGAATAATTCTCTATAACTTTTGAAATACCAACATGAAATTTGGTAGATTGATTTTTCTCAGTTGTGCTGATAGCTGTGTTTGGACACGAGTCAGTGACCACAATGTGTCAATAACAAGCTCAATCTCAACAGAATTGCTCACTTCACTTCCAATGATCACATCAGGCTGTCGATCCCCACACTTCTTTTGATGTCCAGTCCTGGCCAAGGGCTAACAAAAGCCTGCTCCTAGCTGACAATAAGATGAAACATCTCTCACACATGGCAATTTCAAGCATCAGATAAGCAATGATATTCCTGCATGAGTGGAATCCCAATGGAACCAGGAACTAAATACCTTGCAGCTTAATTTCTTTGGCAAGGGTTGAAGAGAGGCCAAGATCCAACATTATTTTGATACCAGTCCAACTCAATGAAGGCTCCACTTTGGCAGTGGATCACTGACAATCTGAAACTCTATACCACGGGTCTGATTTAATGGACTCCCATCATCATGTTATAAACAGGGTCTGACTGTATTGTAACATATAACATATCAGTCCCGATCAAACATACTTTCAGTAGAATTTCTGCCAGTGAACCAATGACATGCAGTGCTCCATCCTTCTTCCGTGGATCAGTGCCAGGGTCTGTCAGGATATGGTAACAAAAGCTCATCATCTTGGGTAAAACCTAGCGTGAAACACATCAAACAGAATAGAACCACATCAGATATTTTCAAGGTAACTTCACATTGCCTGAATTCAACACAGTACCAGATAAATTGAAGATAAACAAGGTTCACTGATGTGAAACGGTGAAGAGGGACTCAGACACAGCCTAGTGGAATTTTACTTTATATATGTACAAAAAATATTTTTACTTGTTATGCCAAACTGACAAGAGTTTATCTATTTGGTTAGCTGGGTATTGGACATGCTTGGAAACCCAGCATAATGCTTAAGAATAGCCCAAAACAAAAGAGAACTCCACATGTCCCCACATGAGTCCGGAATGAAATGCAAAACATGTACATATACAGTAACTTAGCAGAATGTTATGGCAAGGAAACAGGCTATTTGCCCCTATTAGTCCGTACCGGTTACTCCATATAACTCCACATGAGCCTCCACCCTCCTGTACCCTATATTCATTAAATGGAACAACTTGACATCGTAAAGCGAGTCTTACAGAGGAAAAATTACACGGATGGTACAGATCACCAAACAAGTTGGGAAGGTTGTGGCGGAAGGGGAGAAAGATGACCAAAGACACGGTAAATGAGGTCAGTTTGGAAGTGTTTTGGAGATGGAGAGTTCTCCTTTGGTTTCTCCTTTAAGTTCTTGGTGCAGGACAACTGAACAAAGACTGAACAAAGTGTTGACAGCACTGCATTTTAATGTTTGGGTCTCTGCAGTTAAATTCAAAAGCTCATCTCACCTCTTTCCTCTTCTTAGCTGCTGTGTAAAGAAAATTCTGGGCAGCAATGGTTGGTGAGACATGGTCCTCGAACACATCTGAAACATTGAAGCAGTACCACAGAATTAGACAGCAGAAGCTCTGAAGATTAAGAACAGTTTACACCCGATCAATTCCTCGTTTTGAAATAATTCTTCTTGTGTTTGCATTTGTGAATTTGTATTTGCCATGATCCTCGTTCTCACATTCAAATTCCTCCAGGGCACTTGCCCCACTCGACCTCTGCAGCCTTCTTCAACTATACTTACTAGTCTGTCTTCTCGCTCAGAAAATACCAGCCTGCTTCACGTCCCCCACCTGATCTGCCACACCAGGCGGGCTTTCAACCATTCATCCCCGGTCTCTGAAACTTCATCCCCGAGCCCCTCCAACTCTCTCCCTCCTTTCCTTGTTGAAATCACATCTCAGAATGTACCTTTTTGATCACCACGCCTCCAACCCCTCCTCAATCCTCAGTCCCGCCCCTCTCCATGTGTGCCCTCTAGCTTTGTCAAGCACTTTGACACATCCTCCTGATGTGAAAGGCGCTAAAAAATACAAACTGTGTTGTAAAGCGCATATACCATTGAAAAGTCTCAAACTGTTCACAGCCAAATGCTATAGCGTCAGGATTACAATTCCACCTCAGTTATTGTATAATAATACTTACATTTGATGCAGAACCTTAAACATTCAAATGTCGTGATGCACTTGATGAGTAATTGGTGTCAATTTGCAGCCAATCTGCTCACAGCAAATTCACCAAATAAAAATGAAGCAAATGACAGTTTTATCTGGGAGAATTGTTGACCAGAACAATCAGAATTTTCTCCTCCTAGGAGAAAACTCCTTTCTCTTTTCGAATAGTGCCATGGAATCTTTAGCATCCATCTGAACAAGCAGATGGGACCGAAGTCAAGAGTATCAGTAGAATGATAGCATCGCCAACAATGCATCACTCTACTGTTTTAGCCAAGTCCATAAGTTCTGGCTGACCTGGAGCTTTTAAACCATAACATTCTGGTTTGGAGAAGCATATACATTTATGGCACAGGCCATTTGGGCCATCATGTCTGTGAAAGCTCCCTCAAAAGCAATCCTTTCAGTCCATTTGCATGGCATTTTCCCCAGACCCCTGTAGCTAACTCTGGTTAAGGCATCTCACTTGAAGGCCAATATGGATCTTGTCTCAACCACTGGTCCCAGGCAGAGAATTCCATATACTTACTATTCTGTGTGACATAAGAGTTCTCAGAATAAAATCCCTACATAAGATACAGCAGTGCCTAAAATGCTGAAACATTTCAATGCACTTGATTGATACCAAATATAGAGATTGCATTTGCAGGCAAACATGGTGCTTACTTTGTTTTGCCCAATGTTCTACAAGCAATCATGAGGTACACACCCAACTTAAAATAACTGCATTGAAGTGAGCATATTTTGCTGGTAAAATATTTGGGCCTCACCATCAACTGAAATGTAATTTTTGTTGGAGGAGGTTAAGTAAATCCAAGTGTCACAAAATAAAAGCTGCTTTGATCTTTCAAAATCTCAAGTTTAGAGAAATGCTGTAAACCTCACCAAATTTCATTCGAATGTACTCATAAGGATCCTCCTGCCACAGCTCCTCATCTTCATCCTTGTAACACATCAATGGGAAGATCACCTCTTCAGAAATGCTCTGCACAAAGACAGAAAGATTTACAAAGAATGTACAGCACAGAAAGGGGCCATTCGTGGTCTGTCCATGCATGTGTCTGCATCCACTCCTTACTCACTCCCAACCTTTCTATTCGCCTCTCCCTTAAGTGAACATCGAGCTTCCTCTTAAAAGCATCAATACTATCTGATCCAACCACCATTTCAAGCAACAGGTTCTACAATATCACTATCCTCTGTGTAAAGTAGTTCCTCCTAAACTGTCTTTTAAATCCCCTTATTCCTCTCTATACAGTAAAACAACAATAAACAACAAAATTACATTTGTACAGAATACTTAAGTCATACCAGTCGGGACCACAACATTTAATTTGATTTACATTTATGGGTTACAGGCAAACTTGCATAAGTCAAATAATATACAACTTAAATCAATAGTCTATGCATACTTCAATACACCTGGTAAGCGTGTATGCAGCAATGGGTCAAGATTTTGTTTCCAGCGATTCAATGCAGCCAGTAAGTGCGTTCGCAGCATTATGAGTTAGGAGAGGATTTGCAAAGGATTTAGGATGTGTTTAGGACCAAGAAACCTTTATGATTTAGCCATTTTTCTGATTTATAAAATACGATTAGCGCAAAGAAATAGTGTTTTTTAATAGGAAACTGAAGGAGACTCGGGTGCATGTACGACTTAGGCAATTATACGATTATAAAGGTTTGACTTATACGAGTTTTTCTGTACCTGTGCAGCCTGATAGCAGTAACCTGATAGCCCTGGAAGATTCCTCATAAACCTACGCTCTATTCTTTCGATTCCCAGCTATACAAAATATAAAATTATATTTGTATAGCGCTTTCATGTCAGGATGATGCCCAAGACGCAAAAGAGATAAAACAAAATGAAGACTGTGAATCCCATCCTTTGCCTCCCCCGATACCCTTACATTCCCTTCTCTCTACTATATCCGAAGTACATGTAGCTTTTTCATTTCATTTACAAGAAGAGTATAACCCCAATTTGACACTGTTGATGGCAGGGATCTCAACACCATACGGGCACTGAAGACAAAAGTAACCATTGACTTTCCTTTCTGCATGTCTAGACAAGAAGAATGGAAGAAAATGTAAGGAAAACAGGGTAATGGTTAGGTCCTGCAGATCTAAGAGCGATGATTTCCCCACTATGATGGTGAACACAAACCAGGCTTCAAAAGAACACCGCCATCTACTGGCAAAGCTCTGAGCTGACATTTCTTTGAAATGTTTTCCTCTCCAGTTGCATCACCGTAAGCTGTTTCTGGCAACTTTCTCAATGAGTGAACACCAACATAAAGTTGCTTGATGTTGGACAGTCTTTGGGAGCCAGCTCAAGAACGGATTGGAACCTCAACCAATACTTGGTTACAACTCAACGCTATATTCTGTAAACTGTCATTGAGGTCTGAAGTGTGACATACCAAACAATGGCTGGTAACCAGACATGAGCGAGACCAGCACCAAGAAAAGTGGCCCAAGTGGCGGGTAAATGGATAGGGCTTGAGGTGTGTTTTGAAAAAAAGCAAAGCAAGGCAGAGGCTCTGGGATGGAATTTTAACTGGGCAATTCTTGGTCTGGACAAACTGTTCTCTTTGGTCTCATGGGATCTTTAACGTCCACCTGGACAGGCAGACAGGAGACAGACAGGTTTAATGTCCCATCCAAAGGCTGACACTTCAGACTATGCAGCACTCCCCCAGCATTGCCCTGGAGTGGCATCTTACACTGCAAGCGCAAACTTCCAAGATGAAGCTTGGAGCTCAAACATAAATTGTTTCGTAGTACTCAGAAGAAACAGACCTAACAACTGAGCCAGGTTGATAGCCTAAATCAGGGTTGTCCAACAAGCGGATTTCAGTGTAAGTTTTTTTACACTGTTGGATTACTTGTTTATTGAAAGTAATGGAAAATGTTTGCCTTGTTTGCTTGTAAGCAATATCTGTCTTGAAGAAGTTCAGAGTTAGTTTTGCAATTATGGATTAATCTGTTTTGGTTTTGTTGAGCATTCTCTGACCTCTGAGTTGATATCTGGTGGTTTTGATTTTAATCTATTGAAAAAATTGAAGCATATACTTCCATTTGCAATGATCATTATTACGTAAAAGTCACACAATTTAAAACATAGGATTTCTGTACGTTTATTTTAAGTTTCTGGAAAAGAAAAATATTGCTTATGTGACCCGCAAATGTTTCTCAAATGTGGTATCCGGCCCTCGACATCCAAAAGATTGGACCACCCTACCCTAAATTATAGCGATGGGAAAAATGGTGACAGATCCATTAACCTTATTTAGAAGCACCAGAACCAAATTGTGAATGTTAATAATTCTTGCATTTTGATATAGCCCTTTTCACTTCTTCTAGATTTCTCAAAGTGCTTCACAGAATATACGGTAAAGTGAATTGACTGTATATTTGTGGGCGAACTTGTTAAACTTTACAGTGATGTCTAAACTTATGATTCCACTGTTTCCTCTTGAAACTGAAAACATAAATCAAATGTTACATTTATACAGCGCCCACTTCGGGAGGAAGTTCCAAGGCGTTTGAATGTACTGGCTTGGCACCCAATTTAGGTTGGGAGCCAAGGAGGCTGGGTTTGGGATAAATGACCGAAAGCACAGATAAAAAGTTATGTCTTGAAGGGGACTCAGAGGGCGATAGGCTGAAAGGCTGATACCTCCAGTCAGGCTTTCAGCTGATCTGCCCCCACTCTGGATGGAGGTCCGTATATCAGCTGAAAGCCTGACCACTAATTGTATATGTAAAACATGCGATTGTAATAAGAAGTCTGGAGCTGGAAACAACAGTATCTGTCAGGTATGAGAAAGAGTTACTCAACTTCTGGAGACAAAGTTTCAAATAACTCGATGATTCCCACAGTCATTAGTCACAGTCGTTAGATCAGTGGCAGAGCAGCAACATTCCTGTTTGTCCCTTGTTCCACCATCGGCTACTACGCCCCAAAACTCTGGAACTCTCTCCCCAATGCATCCTTGCTCTCTCCTTCCCACATCACAGCAATGCACCCAAAGACCTTCTTCTTCGTTCGTGCTTATGGTCACTGACCCCCGCCATCACATTCCTGCACTGTCAAGCACTCTGAGACGCTACCCTATGTAAGGGTCGCTATATAAATGAAAGTTGTCATTGTTGTTGCTCGGAATATACTCTGTCCAATTTGAGAAACTTCCTACTCTTGCTTTCCTCAATTCATGAATGAACGGAAACCTATTTGGAAAAACCTTTGTGATTCGCTGGCTGCAAATTTGGTAAACGGTAAATTGCAATTACCACAACAAATCGTGTTTGAAAATATGACAAATGACAACCAATTTCCTTTCAAACGCAATGACTCTTTCATGTAAGATGATGGAAGGCATCAAATATTAGGAATGTGTAAGTTCTTGACCATCTGACGACTCCATTTTCTCCCCAACATTCCCTCCAATCTCTCTCATCGTACCCCAAATTCCCAGGAAGCTTCGAGACCTTTCAGTCTGTCATTAGCAGTATTTTTGGCATGTCTGCAATGTCTCTTTGAAAACCCGAAAAATAACCCTGACAGAGTTAATAACAGTTTTCATCTCGGACTCTCCCTCTCCCTGGTCACACAGATGTGTGTATTTTGTGATGTTAATTCTGATCACAAAATAAACTGAAGCAAAGAGCACAGTAAAGTTGTATTCCGGCACTCACCTGAATGTGTGGTTTCATTTGTTTCCACGTGAGAGAGTGGCCAACCCCCTGATTCAAGTAGTTGAGGGCCTGCTGCAGGACACGGGGGGTAACGTACTGCTTGTGTCGGAAATGAGCCACTAAATTCAGTAATACCTACAACAAATGATACAGCAACACATGATAATAGCACTGGAACGGACTTGCCACACAAAATAAATTCGTTTAAAGCTGGGATTTTATCCTAGCTAAAACTGTGCTCCTAGTGGTTAGCTGTAAAACTGTGTAATAAAGTCTTCTTGTGCTTCCTTTATAGCATACACATTTTTTAAATTTACAATGGAAGCCGCTTAAGCCAGACACCTCAGAGCCAACTGTTTTGTCTATCTTAAGTGGCATCTGAGGTTAACCAAAATTCTCTTACAACAACAACTTACATTTATATAGCGCACTTCACGCTGGACAGCGCTTAACAGTGGAGGAGCCCGATGCCAAGCCAGTGGAGGGGGAAGGTGAACGTAGGCACAGTCGAAGAGGAAGGTCTTCAGGCGCGACCTGAAAATGGGGAGGGGGCAAGGCGAAGCGATTGAGGGAGAGATTTACACAGCTTTGAGGAGTAGTGGCTGATAGCGTGGCGGCTGATGGTGGAGTGGAGGGTCCAGGGCCAAGGAAAGAGGCCGGAGCCAGTCGAGCGGAGGCAGCGGATAGTAATGTAGGGAGAGAGCAGGTTGGAGAGATAGGAGGGTGTGAAGGGACTTATATACAAGAGTGAGGATCTTGAAATCAATCCGCTCTGTGACAGGGAGCCAATGGAGTTTGACAAGGACTGGGGTAATGGAGTTATGGATTTCAGTGCAGGTGAGAATGCAGGAGGCGGATCTTTGAATTAGTTGAAATTTGTGAATAGTGGAGCAGGGGAGACCAGTGAGTAGGGCATTTGAGTAGTCAAAATGAGAGGTGATGGAAGTATGAAGAAGGGTTTCAACAGCTTTTGGAGTGAGGAACAGACGGAAGAGGACAATGTGCCGGAGGTGGAGGAAAGCGGTCTTGGCCAGGGAAGCAGCGTCTTCTTAGAGCTGAAGCAAGGTGACATGCCAGCAATGGAATGTCGGAATCGAGCCAGCCCTCTGTGGCGGTCTCACTAGTCCGGTTCCTGGGCCAGGCGGGTCCGTAGTATTCCAGGGAACTGCTGATGACAGCATAGCCAGCCTGGCTCATCGGCAGGACCTGGAAGGAAACCATCCCACTCAGCCCATTAACCCTGCAAGCCAAAGCTCAAATGTAGGGTAGGGTGGTCCTAGCTGGACAAGCAGCGGGAAAGCTTGCCGGACAGCAATATCAATGGCAAGCTATGCAGTTTTAGTTGGAAAGACTCCAACAGTACCCCAACACACACTCTGGGGTCCCCAAGCCTTGGCTCTTGCCAACCTTCGCCTAATAACAAGAAGATTACATTTGTATAGCACCTTTCACGTCAGGAGGACGTCCCGAGGCGCTGGACAGTGACAGCATTTCAGACCTGAGCTGGGGTCAGGGGGGAGAAGGGAGGGGAGGGGAAGGGGGGTGACCAATGGCATGGTCGAAGAGGCGGGTTTTGAGGCAGGACTTGAAGGAGGCTAAGGAGGGGGCAAGGCGGAGTGATTGGGGATGGAGTTCCAGAGGTTGGGGGCAGAGTGGCTGAAGGGCGGGTGGGTCAGGGGACGTGGAGCAGGAAGGAGCCGGCTGAGTGGAGGGAGCGGGCGGGTTGGTAGTGGGTTAGGAGGTCACAGAGGTAGGGTGGGGCGAGTCCATTTAGGGCTTTGTAGGTCAGGACCAGGATTTTGAACTAGATCCTCTGAAGGAGAGGGAGCCAATGGAGTCGGGCGAGAATGGGGGAGATGGGGTCACAGAGTTTTGTGCGGGAGAGGACACGGGTTGCAGAGTTGTGGATTATCTGCAGCCTGTGGAGGGAGGAGTTGGGAAGGCCGACAAGCAGGGCGTTTGCATAATCGAGCCTGGAGGTGATGAAGGCATGAACAAGAGTTTCAGCGGCCTGAGGGGTGAGATAGTGGGGGAGTCGGGCGATGTTACGGAGGTGAGGGAAGACAGAGCGGGTCATGCCTTGGATATGGGGAAGAAAAGACAGTTGAGGGTCGAACAAGACACCTAGGTTCCTCACTGGCTTGGTGAGTTGAAGTGTACAACCATGGAGGTTGATGCTGCCAGAGCCTGAGGTGCAGAGGCATACCTAGAATTAGATAAGCAGGATGTGTCCCTCCAGAAAGAGGATTCCATTCCAACAATCTATCTCTGGGATTTCCATGTGTAGGTGCAGCTTGGGTTGGATACTTTTACACATGGTGATGGGTTTCCGCATGTGTCAGACACCCGGCTAACCAAAAAAAAGCACAAGCCCTGGTCTTCTCATCCACAATACATGTAGTCAATTCACTTTACTGCATATTCTATGAAGCTCTTTCAGAAGTCTCAATGACCTGATAAGGCACAATATTAAATGCAAGGATTATTATATTACTATATAATTAATTCTGGTGACTTGAGATCAGCTAATATTGGTTTTACATTGTGCTTTTTTTCCCTATTGTTGTGTTGTGTTTACATTCCAGAAACCCAAAAGCCAAATCTTACAGAAAGCCACCGAGTTATGGAAACTGCATTCATCAAAACACAATGATCACAATGCCCCAAAGATATGAAGCAACTGCTTTCTATGAATAAAACGTCTGCAAATACAAATGTAAAAAAAATCCCGGCCTTCAGTGCGTCCCTCGACCCCACCACTCCACCATTTGCAGATGTGCTGTCAGCCACAATAACCCGAACCTCTGGAACACCCTGCCTCAATCCCTCTTCCTTGCCCCCTCTTTGCCCATCTTCAGATTGAACCTGAAAACTTTCCTTTCACTCTTTCTCTGTGGCTCTCCAAAACTCACCACTCTTACTCCATGGCTCGGTGTCAAACTATGTCATTGTTAAGCGTTCCAAGACACTACCCTGCTTGAAGGGTGGGATATAAATGAAAGTTGTTGTTGTTATTGCTGAAAATTAGTCAATTGCTAAGTCATTATGCAGATTGCTTTCCAGAGGTAATAATCCCTCAAAAAAAATCACTCAATCCACGACGGTTTGTGGGACACTGCTGTGTGCAATTTGCTGATGCAATTCATCTACAAAATAGTCATTTCAATATATTTTGTGAAGCGCTGTGAGACATCTTAATGACAATAATCCTTGCATTTGATATAACGCCTTACCATGTCTTCAAGAAGTCTCAACACACTTTACAGAATATACTGTAAAGTGAATTGACTGTACATTTTGTGGTGAAACGCAACAGCTAATTGCCCATAGCAATGTCATGTTTTGAAGTGACCAATTTTTTTTTTTGAAGGAATTATTACCCCCGGAAAAGCGATCCGCTAATTGACTAACAACCGGGTTCCTACTTACTGCTGGGTAAACAGAGGTGTGTGGAGTAAGGAAACTTGCCCAACATTTCGCCCTGCCGGGAATCAAACCCAAGTCTCTAGCTTGTAAGGCAATTGCTCTAACCACTGAGCTATAGGACTCCATAAGGCAAATGCAAGGTTTATTATTAACATTACTACTACTTGGTAAGATCTTCAACAGAGCTTCACTTGGACAAAGAACACCCAGTTTTCCACATCTGAGAGAAATACAGTATCCCAAATACTCTTGGCAAGTCAATCTTTGTGCTCTCACCTGTTGAATACCAACAGCATAGGTTTGGAAAAAGAATTCTGAAAATTCAATGTACTCCTTGGTTACATTTCCAGGGCTTCCATACCTATAAACAAAGCAAGACACAGAAGATCTAATGAGATGAGCTTTCCCTATTCCATTTCATTTTCTAATTGTCACCCCACATTGTCACACAACAAACAAAATTCCAAACGGTACCAAACCTTCTTTCCAGTCATCATTCAATAGCTCACTGGAAAGATCCCTGGAGTTTATGTGAGCAGGATGACACCTCATTTTCCACACTCGGACATTCAGCCACAAAGAACCACTTCTTGAGAACTGCCTGAGGGCTCAAAACATCCTCAGGCGAGTTACAATACAAAATTACATTTGTATCATGCCTTTCATGTCGGGAAGACGTCCCAAGGCACTGGACTCTCAGGGATTTGGACCGATCTGGGGTCGGGATTGGATAGGGTGAAGGGCAAGAAGGGTAGGATGGTGACCGAAGGCACGGTCGAAGAGGAGGGTCGTGAAGGAGGCAAAGGAGGGAGCGAGACAGAGGGACTGTGGATGGAGTTCCAGAGGGTGGGGCAGAAAGGCTGAAGGACCGCCTGCCCCACCAGTGGAACACAGCATATCCGCATGCTGGAAAAATGGACAGGAGTTAAATCCCGGAAGCAGTCAGGCTAAAATGTCAGATCATCTTTCATTGCATGTGGTATAACCAGGAGCTGGAATTTTTCCAGAGTGCAAGTTTAAACTGAGATAATAAGCTCGCAATTGCACAAATGTCAAAGACAGAAAGTCTCTGTTCCAGGGAGGAGAAAAACAGGCTGATGTATTTTGCTGCGTGCTTCCCGCTCTCTTGTCCCTAACACTTATCCCTAATCAATGTGAGTTCACAACAACAAATTATATTTGTATAGCATCCTTCACATTGGGAGGATGTCCCAAAGCACTGGGCAGTCAGGGACTTGGACCCGAGCTGGGGATCGGGATCAGGTGGGGTGGAGGACAGAGAGGGTAGGGGGTGACCCGAAGGCACGGTCGAAGAGACGGGCCTTGAAAGAGGCAAGAGAGGGGGCGAGGCAGAGGGACTGTGGGATGGAGTTCGAAAAGATGGGTGCAGAAGACTGAAGGCCCGAAGGCAGGCAGTGTGGAGGACATGGAGCAGGCCAGAGTTCGCTGAGCGGAGCATACAGATCAGAATGAACAGTACCTTTCAAAGAGTCGCACAACAATGTGCAAAGCCCACTTCTTGCATTTCCACCACACCAGTTCAGGCCGGTCGTCTTCATCCACCTGCAACGTCTCCTGCAAGTATCAAGGTCAGGTTTAAGGAATGCACCAGCTGCAGCCAATCACTGAACAAAACTATAAGACGGACAACTGAAATTGGTTTTCAAAACACAACCCCCATGTAATATTTTACTCCAGACAGAAGTCACCAGCTTCACATACTATTTTACATTTCTGGCAAGTGAAGACAAGACTAATAAAAATAACATACATTTATAATAACAATCCTCACATTGGGAGGACATCTCAACACATTTCCCAGCATATATTATAAAGTGTGTTCTTGTGAGTGAAACAGCATGTATCAATTAAAATGCTGTATTATGCGTCCAAGCACTAAAAGCAACTTAAATGATATATACCCTTCAAGTAGGATAACCGCGCGGAGCACTTCAAAGAGACTGTATCAAGAGACTGAGCCAGGGAGTTGGGAATGGGAGGAGGAAGTGACCTTGTTGGTGAGATCTGACCCTTGTAAATTGAAAGAAATTAAATAATTAAGTGATTAAATGTTCAAAAATAGGACCATTACATTTTTTTTAAAAAGCTGAGTTGTCCTTTTGATGTATTGAAGACTGCTCAGGAAATAGAAAAGTGAAAGAAATATCATTTATTCTAACTGCCGTGAAGCACTTTGAGACTTCCACCTGACATGAAAAGTGCTACAACAAATGTTGTTATTATTTTATTCGTTGCCAAATATTCACAAAAGGTAGAAACTTGTAGAGAATGTACAATGAAATTACCAGAGGCTAAGGCACCCACAAGTCTCATCTACTCCCTGACTGACAACTGACAGAGATTATGCAAAATAAAATACTTACAGGAGGAACATCTCGATCAATGATCAACCGAAACACCTCCATCCACTGAGTCATGGTCTGCTTGTTTACTAGTTGCAAAGGCAGTGTGTACTAGCAAAAAGAAACAAGAGACGCCCAGATGAAGGCTGCTCAGGTAATAGGAAAATGAAACAAATATCATTTACTGTAAATGCAGTTACCTCATCTGCTTTGAAGTTAATATCATGGTGGGGTTTTGGGGTGAATAACACAGTGCAGGGCAAACTTCTCACTCATTCAAACAAAAATCTCACCACTACTAACTGCTAAAAGGATGAACTTAAAAGATTTTTTCTTGAGTAAGTTGTTTTTAACCCTCTCTAAAATTTCACATAACCTGGACCGGGACAGGAAGGCAAGCCACCATCTCCAGACAATAATAGCAAGGAGTTGGGTGAGTGAGCTCAAATTTTCTCTTCAATGTGAGGAAATTCCTTGCCTTCAGTTTCCACCTCCAACAACATGTCAAGGTGCAAAACTGCTTCCAACCACTCATCAGCACAGTGCATTGGATTGGAAACACATCTAACCAAGCAACACTGTCAGAAAGAACTGAGCCAATCCTACTACAAAACAAGCAAAATAAAATGGAAAAGCAGCAGAGATCCCCCAAACAGCTGAAGACAGACTAACATCCCACTCTCTAAGACAAACAACAACAATAACAAGATTACATTTTTATAGCGCCTTTCACGTCGGGAGGACGTCCCAAGGCGCTGGACAGTGTACACCATTTCAGACCCGGGCTGGGCTCAGGGGGGGGAGAAGGGAGGGGAGGGAAAGGCGGGTGACCGATGGCATGGTCAAAGAGAAGGGTCCTGAGGCGAGACTTGAAGGAGGGAGCGAGGTGGAGTGATTGGGGGATGGAATTCCAGAGGTTGGGGGCGGAGTGGCTGAAGGTTCTCCTGCCAATGGTGGGGCAGGGAGGTCGGGGGACATGGATCAGGCCAGAGCCGGCTGAGTAGAGGAAACAGGTGGGTTGATAGGGGTTTAGGAGGTCACAGAGGTAGGGTGGGTTGAGGCCATGGAGGACTTTGGAGGTGAGGATCAGGATCTTGAACTGGATCCTCTGAAGGACAGGGAGCCAATGGAGCCGGGCGAGAATGGGGGAGATGCGGTCATAGAGTTTGGTACGGGAGAGGACACGGGCTGCAGAGTTCTGGCAAGAGGCAGCAAAAGGTAAACAACTGCCTATGGTAAATCCACGATTGTACCAGAGCTCATCACAATGCCATTACATTGGGAAGCTAACACAATGTAGTAATATACAATTGTGAGATGGCTGGGGTCTCTCAACCACAAATCTTCAACTTCAACTGATAGACTTGGAGTAAGGGAACATGTGCCTCAACACACAAGACTTGGAAACAGTGAGGATATTGGCAGCCCCACCCAGGAAGCTCCCGAATCATGCAGATCAGGTGGACACAACTGATAGACAAGGCCTTATCTTGAATGTTCTGTTAAATCAGTGCTTTTCCTGAGATGCAGGAGGTGAATGATCAAAGTGATCATGATGTGCAGTAAGAAATAAGGACAAAACAACTGAAGACAAAAATAAATCACATTTTGCCATCAAAAGGTTTTCTTTCTCATTCTTCCAAAACCTTACCAATGTAAGCGTCTTGTAAGCCGCACATTCATTTGTGTCTCCCACTGAATCAGGTGAGATGCACAATATATAAAAGCTACTTCTGAACAAGAACGTAACTGCATTTGATCAACCCTGCTGCCTCTTACCTGAACAAGTGCATAGAAGATCTTTAGGATTTGTTTTTGAATCAGCACTGAATAATGTGATGCGTCTGGCAAAAGCTGCACAATATGTTGCTGAATCCGTGGCAGAAATATCTGCATGGCTGCAATCAGGGGATCCCGTTCCTCTGCCTTCTTGAATCTAGAAAATAAAAATAATTTTCATCACTGCAAAACTGTTCAAAGCGTCAATCAACCTGACCTTCAAAATCAAGTTCGGTGAATGATAAAAGTGAATTAAAGGGGAGGCCTCACTGCGATGATACGAGTGAAACTTTGTATCATCACCGTTTCATCATCCAGATATAACAAAAGCTCCCTGATGCTTCTCAGGATGAAACAAGTCCTGCAGAAGCAGCAGAAACCTGTAAAATTCTTTTTGAGGTGGAAACAATATTAAAGACTGAAGCAAACAAGTCAAGCCATGTATTAAATCAGAGCTTGGCCGAAATTCCACTCGTTGTGATACACTGTGATGCGCAACAGGAAATCCTGTAAGCAGTCGTTATCGCCAAAGGCCTGACGCCAATGCGAATTCAGCCTAAGAATATCTGTGCTATGTTTCTGGCTTCAGCTGGTTTTGGTGTTCCTTCTGCTTACAAAAGAGCCAGCTGTTGCTGATAAGAAGGCTTTTGCTGAGTCTTGGTATTTATTCTCTTTCTACACACTACTCATATTCCTTCAAGATGTAAAAAATGTTCAATCTCCACAAACAAACTTTCCCTTCCACCCAGCGATAAATTCCTCTAAAGCTGTCACCCATTTACGATTATCTGTCTCACCTTTACTAAATGCTCTCAAACTCCCCGCTCCACAACTGTGAATCTCAGCTCCACTCAGATTCAATGCTTCCAAGCTTATTCTTTGGCAGGCTCTGATTACATAGGTACAAACGATCAAGCTCAAACCTACCAGGACAGAAAAATACAGGGAAATCCCTTCAGTCTCCACAAATTGACAGAAATACACCTGTCACCAAGCCACCTCGTTTTCCAATCAAAAAATTAGCTTTTCATTCTTTCATTGGAAAAGGAGACCGAGGCCTTCCTGCTTGTCGCCCATCAGTGCCTCCATCAGCATCATCCATGGATGTGCTCTTCAACTCACTGAGCCAGTCCAGAACACTGATGTCTTGTTTGACCCTCAACTGTTCTTTCTGCCCCATATGCATGCCATGACTCGCTCTGCCTTCCCCCAACGCTGCCTCTCCCCTCACCTACACATTTGTCACATCCAGGCTCGACTACACTAACTCCCTGCTTGTTGGTCTTCCCAACTCTTCCCTGCACAAGCTGCAGATCAGTCAGAACTCTGCAGCTCGTGTCCTCTCCTGCGCCAAGCTCCGTGACCCCATTTTCCCTATCCTCGTAAGGCTCCACTGGCTCCCCATTCCCCAAAAGAATAAAGTTCAAAATCTTCATCCTTAGCAAAAAACATAGTAAAATGGTACTTTTTCTTCACAGTGCAGAAAGCAACAAACAAACCCCTCCTATCATTCAAAGTGAAAGAGCTTAGTCATTGCATTTGGGAAAATGATCATGGAACAGGTTTTAATGTCTGTGTATTAAAACAAAATACATTTGTATAGTGCCTTTCAAATCGGGAGGTCATCCCAAGGCGCTGAACAGTCAGGGATTTGGACCCGAGCGGGGTTTGGGATAAGGAGGGGTGGAGGGCAGGAGGATAGGGGTAGGAGAAAGGCGCTACCTACGCAAAGGCGCAGCCGAAGAGGAGAGCCTTAAGGAGGCCCCTGAAGGAGGCAAGGGAGAGGGCGAGGTGAAGGGATTGTGGGATGGAGTTCCAAAGGATGGGGGCGGAGAGGCGAAGACCTCAGTATGAGGCTTCAGTGGATAAACAGGGGAGTTTGAGAAATGTGGAAGATAACAAGTTTCCAAAGTTCTCTCACACCTTCTTTACACAAACAACTCGCACACGCACCACTCACATGGCCATAATGGGTTGACTACTTTTAAAATAGTGTCACACCCATAAATAGTTGATACTCACTCATACGTCCTGACCAGTTGATACAGGCAAAGCAGACTGCCAAGCCAGCTGCCACTGTTTGCAGTTTGCAGGAAATACCCAATTTTATCAACAACTGTTGTCCAACGTCCGGGAAAGTCGTACTTTATGATAATACGGAGACACACGGCCAGCTGAGACCTTCAAGAACAACAGAAATCATGTTTATCAAAAAAAAGCTTCAGACCCCTGGATAGATTGTGCCACAGAAATAGGCCAGTCACAAAAAAAAGTGCATTGTGAAAAACACACATTTCCTGTCACATTTCCAAGCACGCCAACTTATCCACATTAAATGCAATGCCCACTGGATTGGCAACATTCCCTTCATTTCCTACCAAGTTCATATTATTTTAGTGCCATAGCGTAATGGTTCGCTCCCTAACCTCGCAAGTGAGAGATCCCGATCTGATACCCGGGTTCGGTTCCCAAGCAGGGAATCGAACCTTAGGCAAGTCACCTTACTCCATACGTCTTTGTTTACCTAGCAATCAATGACTGTTTGTAGGACACTGCTGCACGTAATTGACTGTCTCGATTCGCCCACAAAATACACAGTTAATCCACTTTATAATATATTCTGTGAAGCACTTTGAGTTGTTTCAATGATGTGATAAGGTGCTACATCAAATGCAAGGATTATTATTATTATTTTCTTTTGCTAATATGCAATCTGCTCACAAGAATTAGTGCTCGTATACCTCGTGCACATCACTATTTCTTCATCTGTGAGCCTGGACAGTGTGTGTTAGCATGTTTTTTGACTGTGGAGTACATCATAGCCAATTGCCAATTGTGTGTATCCACACATCCAGGGCTCGTTGCACCATAAAGCATTTCACATCCTTTAAGAAGCGACACAAACCTTATCTGCCAGCAGACAAACTTTTTCCACGAAAGAAAAATGCTAATGCTCAGCTAATCTTCTTTAGACTATCCCATACCTGATTAAATCAGGAGAGTGGATGATTCCCTCTACGATGTTGTCACGGATTTGCTGCCGATCATTTTCGTGTATGTTGAAAGGCAACATAGCTTCCCCTGGGGGTGCTTCCCGATCTGGCCAGTACTGAGTCACCATGTTCTTCATATAGATGGCCGCTGCACCATCAATGGAGAGAAAAAAATAGACAAAGCAGCAGTTGAAAATGTGCAGAGCTCGCAATACTCAGTCTGGAGATATTCAACTATATCTCTCACAATTTATGCATAAGTAAAACTGTTTATACATAATATGCATTTCTTATTAGATTTAATCTAAAAAGGGACAATTCACCATTTATGTCACATCACATCTCACTGCTCAAAAGTTTATTTGTGTGTGCACACCACATCCTATCTGAAGACCTTCCTCTTTGACTGTGCCTTCAGTCACCTCCCCTCTCTCCTAGACTCGGCATCATGCTCCACAACTGCAAAGCTCTCCGAAATACTACCCTAGTGAAGAACCAGATATAAATGCAAGTTGTTGTATAACTTAGCCACTCTCAGAAGCCACTCTCAGAAGCAGTGGAAATGACAGGCAAGAGTTGAAAGCGTCCAACAGCAAAAACAAGTTACGCTTATATAGCATTTATTTCATCTTAAAGCACTTTACAAAAATAGTGGTAACATCAGCTGGTGGAAGTGGCTAAAAGCTCAAAGTAAGATGTCTTTTGATGGGAAAGGAGTAGCAAGGGGGTGGGATTTCAGAAGAAAATAATAATAATCTTTCCATTTCATACAGCCCATCAATGTTATGAGGACGTCTCAAAGTGCTTCACTGGATTCTGCCGTAAATGTGTAGCGACTGTGTATTTTGTAGACCAACACAGCAGTCATTTTGTACAAAACAAGATCTGCCCGCCGTATTCTCGATGAGATGATAAACCAAGGTCTTGCCTCCCAGTTCAGGTGGATGTTAAAGACCAAACGGCACGATTCAAAGCTTTCCTCCAGATAAATTGATCACTAAATTCAACAACAACAACTTGCACTTATATCATGTAGGGTAGCATTCAGAGTGCTTAAGTGTGGCGGAGTCTGACTCCGAGCCGGGGAGTGGGGCGAGGTGGCCGTAAGCACAGTTGAAGAGTTAGGTTTTCAGGTGCGACTTGAAAAAGGGGAGGGGGCAAGGCGGAGGGATTGAGGTAGTGTGATCCAGAGTCTCGGGGTGTAGTGGCTGAAAGCGCAACCTCCGATGGTGAAGCGGAGGGTGCGAGGGACGAGCAAGAGGCCGGTTCCAGTTGAGCGGAGGTGCCAGATGGTGGATTGGGGAGTGAGGAGGTCGGAGAGTTAGGGAGGTGTCAGAGTGAAGGGATTTGAACACGTGTGAGGATTCAGGCCTGTTTTCAAAGCTGGCTGCCACTTTTTCTACAAAATTAGTCACTGTGCTTGATAATTTCCTCTGAAGTGCTTAGAGACACAACACCTTTGGATAGGTAAATTTCAAAGAAAACAATTATTATTATTGTTTTTGCTGGGGAAAGTATGGAGAAAGCTTTATCCACATCGCTTGTGTGTGACAAAGCTTGACATTAGCAATGAAGTGGAACAAAAGTCCACAATCCTCCTCGAGAACATCTCCCACAATGACAGCCAAGAGATTTTATTTTCAAAAGTCTGAACATACCTGCCTGTCTGACTGGAAATTCGACCTGATCAGACACAATGATCTGAAGCAATGTTGGAGCAAAGTTAATGATCTTGTAGGACTGAAAAGGAGAAAGAAAAAGAGAAATCCAGTTTAAATGAATGCAGAGAAAAGTTCGACCAACTGTCTGCAGAAATTAAAAGGATTTGCAGAACAAGACAATTGCCCAAGGTTCAATGCAAGCAGTCCCGAGCTCTTCAAAGGCAGCTCAGAGCTGACATACTCACTGTTGCTTAAAAAGTCAAATGTATGTTGAACCGACTCGAAGCTTGTATGTGTATAAGGAACTGTGTTTAAATCAAGACCCAATAAAATCTGTCTTATTCTAAAATCATACTGATGGCAAATGGAATGGTACCGGTCAGTCTCCAGACAAGGAATGCAATGTTATCATGATGCCAAGCTTTCACAGTTACATAGTGACAAGGCCATTTGGCCCAATTAGTCTGAGCTTTCAACAGCTCCTTGTATGTCTGAAAAACAAAGGAAGGCAAAACCTTTTCACAGTCTGTAGTAAAGGATGATTTAGCATGGAAATGGTCCCATGTTTTTTTGCTGTTTTAAATGTAAGTGCTTGTGGGGGGAGGAGGAAAAAGAAGTGGAATGTCAGAAAGGGAAATAGAATGATAGATCGAGAGAGAGAGAGAGAGAGAGAGAGACCTCTGGGGGGATTTCTGGGTTGTTTTTGTGCACTTTCAACAACAAATTGCATTTATTCAGTGCATTTACATGGGAGAATGTCTCAGAGCGCTTTCCTTGGTGCAGGTTCCAAATGAGGCCTTTATTGGGTGCAGATTTCCTTTATTGGTAAGCTGAGAGTTGACCTGAGACAAGCTCAGCACCAGATTCGGTTGTGCTTTGTGCTTTGAAGCAACAGAGAGTCGATTTGCACCAATTAACAAAGTAAATGTCTTTACAAGTCCTTCTTGAGTTTAAGGCAGGTCTTGCCAGGGTTTGCTGACTCTTACTTAGAAACAGAGCAACATACACCATAGTGTATGGAAATACAGACCTTGGACTGACAACAGAATTGTGCTTATCTTTTATGTAAAAAAAATACAGATTGTACTCAGACCATCTGTTGCGAGGTTTAAAGGATCCAATCGTCTCAGATTCTTTGTTTTGAAGAAACTCAACACTAAAGATTTCCACATTCTGTTTTGTCCAGCATATACTGGAGATGAGCGAATATTTTTGTGGCCAACATTACATATTGAAAGACTTTCCAAACAGTCAATTTAACAAACATAAAGAATCTAAAGTGTCCCTTTCTGGCATATAATGCACAAAGACAGCAACACATCCAATACAAATTTATAATTACATAACAACAACAACAACAAGATTCCATTTATAAAGCGCCTTTCACGTCAGGAGGACGTCCCAAGGCGCTGCACAGTTGGGTCATGACCCGAGCAGGGGGGAAATGGTCAGGGTGAGGGGAGGGAGCGAGAAGGGGGGAAATGGTCAGGGTGAGGGGAGGGATGGGAGGGAGCGAGAAGGGGGAAGAGAGTCGAGAGGGGAGCTGAAGGCTCGGTCAAAGAGAAAACCTTAGACAAGTTTCTTTACCCCACACGCCTCTGTTTACCTAGCAGTAAGTAGGAACCCAGTTAGTCGATTGACAGGTTGCTTTCCGGGGGGTAATAAGCGCTTAAAAAAAAATTGGTCACTCAATCCACAACTGTTTGTGGGACACTGCTGTGCACAATTGGCTGCTGCGTTCCACCGACAAAATACACAGTCACTACATTTTACAATATATTCTGTGAAGAGCTTTGAGACATCAAATGCAAGTATTATTATTATAAGGTGCTGTATCAAACGCAAGGATTATTTATTACAATATTTATATAACACCTTTCACATTGGGAGGACATCTCAAAATGCTTAACAGTACTGGTTGACCGGGTAAGCTGGAGGGGTGTTCCCAGGGAAATAGGGAAGGGAAAGATGTTTGAAAGAGCAGTCAAAGAGGAAAGTCTTGAGACAGACCTCAGTCCACCAGCTGCCACTGCTTATTTCCTTTTTTGAAGTTTTAACAACCACGTATTTTTCATAAACTTGCTTTGTTACTCTTTCGCTAATGTATACACAAGACAGCTTTGGCACTGCGCAACATAAAGGTTTCCATAAACAAACAAATGCAAAGAAAATATTGACAAATACCTACAAACTAACTCAAAAGCCTCTGAACTGAAACAGAAGGTTGTAGATGAAACGGTTTCAAAAAAAGAACTTAGTCCAAACCATAAACCGGCTGAAATGTCTTCAACGAAACTTAACTCCCAGGAGCACCAGATGGCAATGCCTTGGATCGTCCTCCTAACGTGAAAGGTGCTATACAAATGTAGTTTGTTGTTGTTGCTGTTAAGGCAACGGGACATTGTCAACCAAGCTGTGGAAAGGATTTTGATACAACTGCAATCAGTTACCTATCGCAACAACAGCACAATATTTAAGCACTCCGAGACGCTACATTGCTTGAAGAGTGTTAAAATAAATGCAAGTTGTTGTTGTCATAAGGGAAGGTGATTGCCCGGTAAATGAAAAACACTTGAATGCATTACTCTTGTAAATCTCCGTACAACCGCCCTGGAATAGGCCTGAGAGCAACTGGTGAAGCTTCAGGCCCATTATAATCAACAGTTGTATCAGGGGTTATAGGACAACAGAGGACAGAGTGATCTCAAAGGTGAAAATACTGCAGTCCTCTTCAAATGAGATAACATCAACACATATCTTCAATCAAAATCATTTTCTCCTTTCAATCCTGTTATCCAACCAATTGATCTTGTGGTTAGCATCTTCCCAGTGGACACGCTAAGCACAACATGCAGGGCATCCAGTGCTCACGCAAGCAACACCTCAGCATTTTCTGTTTGTTGCTCCGGAGAAGGGCATAAATATAAGATGGTGATGAATTTAAGAGGGGTTAGTAGAGTGGCAAAAAAGTGGCAATCACTATCAGAAATTAAGGTTGAAGCAAAGAGCATTCATGCATTTAAGAGGAAAAAGGCGAGGTGAAGTGGCGTGTTAAAACCACACTGGCGAGGACTAGATGGTCCGAACAGCTTGTTTCGATGCGGTTTCGCTCTTCGTGATCGTTATGTCACTAGGAATTATGATAATAATAAGTCTAATCACAAAGTAATTAGCAGCTCTCTGAGCATGGCTCTGCTTTACGGCTGAGCTCTCACAACAACCACTACCTCCAGCCCCCCACAAAAAAATACACATTAGCAACAAACACAGGAAGCGAGAGGTGTGTGTGTATGTGTGACAAAGAGAAAGAAAGATATATGTGTCCAAACCGCTCCCAAATCAGGGTTACCAGAAATTAAAAATATGTGTTGCCAAAATCCACCAACACAAACCCAAAAGTAGCTCGACGTTATGGGTCGCCTGCTATATGGATAGCAATGGCCGATTTAGGTTAGTGCTTTTGAAATTGTGTAAGAAAAGGGTGGCTGTGAGGGAAACGGTTGGCTGGCTTAATTTTTTTTTAATTAGGCACCCGGCCCAAACTCTTTTTAAGGCACAGATCAACAGAAAAAACCTGCCCAACTGGAGCGTGAACTCGCCCAATCTGGCAATATTGTGAATCCTGTAAAATCAATCCACTTTACTGTAAAACTCACATAAGTCATATCAGTCGGGACATTCAAAACATTGAATATGACTTACATGAAGTCCGAGATGCAGGCAAATTTGCATAGATTGTGTAAAATCCGATTTAATCAATAATCAACACCGCGCATGTATAATTCAATGCAGCCGGTAAGTGGGCATGGGGTCAAGACGACGTTTTCCACCATTCAATACGTCTTGACCCAATACCGCATGGAACTTACCGGCAAGCACTGAATCACATTAAATCCCTGGAAGTAATGTTTCTCTGCTTTTGCATCAACGGATCAAGACTACGTTTGCCACGATTCAATGTAACGGGCTAGTAAGCGCGCATGTGTCGACGGGTCAGGACATCACTTCCCGTGATTCAATGCAGCTGGTAAGTGCAGGAGGAATGGAAGACAGGGGGCGGCATTACAGGTTAGGAGGTGATTAAAACGAGTAATGCTAACAAAGCTTAGTGGTTTTGATAGGAAACTGATGTACAACAACAACAAGATTCCATTTATTGAGCGCCTTTCACGTCGGGAGGACGTCCCAAGGCGCTGCACAGTTGGGTCATGACCCGAGCAGGGGGGAAATGGTCAGGGTGAGGGGAGGGAGCGAGGAGGGGGGAAATGGTCAGGGTGAGGGGAGGGATGGGAGGGAGCGAGAAGGGGGAAGAGAGTCGAGAGGGGAGCTGAAGGCTCGGTCAAAGAGAAATGTACGACTTGGACGTTTATACGATTTATAAAGATAAGGCGAGTTATGCGAGTTTTACTAAATGCTGTGAAGCCCTTTGAGACGTCTCAACAATGTGATAAGGTACTATATCAAATGCAAGGATTATTATATAATTATTATTGTCCCAATCATGCAGCCAGCAACCAATGTGGCCAGATTGGGTGGGTTTATGTCCCAATTGGGGCGTTTTGTTTGTTGTACCATGCATGAAAAAAAGGCTTTGGTCGCTGAAGACCTGTTCTCATCCAGTTTAAAAATAACACTAACCTAAAAATCGTGCCACTCTGCTACCCATGTGTATCAGCTTGGCTCATTGGTAGCTCTCGCCTCTGAGTCAGAAGGCTGTCCCACAACAAGTCCCACGTCGGGACTGGGAATCACATAGTTTAAGATGGCACTCTACGTGTGTTGCACTGTCAGAGGTGCCGTCCATCGGATGAGACGTTAAACCAAGATCTTACCTGCATGTTAAGGTGGATGTTAAACATCCTGTGGCACAATCTGAAAAGAGAAGAGTTTCTCTCTCAAAGTGCCGTGGCCAGCAATCCCCCAAATAATATTGCTCACTCACTCCATGACTGTTTGTGGGACATTGCTCCGCACAATTGTGCTGCTGCCTTTCTCCCACAAAATACAGTCAATCCACTTTACAGTTTACCCTGTGAAGCGCTTCGAGAACATCTCAATGACCTGATAAGGCGTGACATTGAATGCAAGTATTACCAGTGTTGCAGTACAGAGTGTTTCGCAGGATATCGGGCTGCTCTGGGGGTTAGTATTCGGTGACTATAAACAGGATTTTTAATTTCTAGCAAAGCCTGGGTGAGCCAGTAACTTACACCACTGGATGGTTCTGGGGGGGAAGGACATGTTATAAGTCCTCCCCGGGGGAGAGGAGGACCTGTTACAACGGTTCAACTTTGTTTGTGGAAGGAGTTGTGTAAGTGATGGTGGAAGGGAATCCCTGAAGCAATCTCGCGTGTCAGTCAGTCCTTGTGAGATAACATTCAACAACATGGACCTGACTGTATAATAATAATAATAATAATAATACTGAGGGGAATATGATGCACTGAGAGAGCTGCTCTTGCTCTTGGGCCTCGATCTCCGGGTGAGAGAAGCCGGGAGCGCGGGCCTGGCCTACAGCCTATAGCCCGTCCTGACCCCGGGCCTGACCTGGTTCAGCTCGTTCTCCGCCGCTATCCTCAGGTTGGGGTCGATGGTGCCTTTCAGCGCCTGGACGATGCGGTTCGGGTCCATGTTGTGGAAAGCGGCCCCGAGGCCGCCTTTGCCTCTCTCTCTCTCTCTCTCTCGATGGCCTCGCGCCGGCGGCGGCGGTTTTTTCCCTCTCCCCTGCCCTCCCGCACGCCGCCCGCACGTCAACCACAGAGTCGAGTCCAGCCAATGTAAGGCAGAGCGCCGTACGGAACGGAGTGCTCGCAAGGCGCCGCCATGTTCCTGTACGGTGCAAAATAAAACAACTGACACGTCCGCCCGCGCGTCAACCACAGAGCCAAGGCGAGGCACCGTACAGAGCGACCTGCCCCCCCCCCCCCAGGGCGCCTCCATGTTTCTGTACGGCAAGAAAAAGAACAACAGCAGCAAAACTGCTTAATTTTGATCATTGGAAAGCAAATGCAAAATGCAAAAAAAAAGGTAATCGGCCACTCACTCACCCCAATAAAAATACGGTTCATGTCGCTTCAACAGTTTTATTATATGTATTTTGCCAACAGTCAAAACAACAAGAACCACTTGCGCTTATATAGCACTCTCCACATGGGGTATCACCTCAGAGTGCTTAACAGTGGCGGAGCCCCATGGGTGGGGGGGAAGGTTAAAGCGCGGTCAAAAGGGAAGGTTTTTAGATGGGACTTGAAAAAGAGAAGAGAGGGGGCAAGGTGGAGGGATTGAGCGAGAATGTTCCAGAGTTTTGGGGCGAGGTGGCTGAAAGCGCAACCTCCGATGGTGGGGTGAAGGGCACGAGGGACGAGCAGGCGGCGGGTGCCAGTCCAGTGGAGGCACCGGGTGTCGGAGTGAGGATTGAGGAGGTGGGACAGATAGGGAGGTGCCAGGGAGTGAAGGGATTTGAACACGAGTTTGAGGATCTTGAAGTCGATCTGTTCGGTGATGGGGGGCCAGCGGAGCCCGGCCAGAGCTGGTGAGATGTGGGTGTGGAGTTTGGGCCGGGTGAGTACGCGGGCGCCAGAGTTCTGAATGAGCTGGATGTTTTGAATAGTGGAGCTGGAAAGGCCGGCGAGGAGTGAGTTTGAGTAATCCAGGCAGGAGGTGACAAATGCATGCACGAGCGTTTGGGCTGCATTTGGGGTAAGATACAGTCGGAGGCTGGCAATGTGGCGGAGGTGGAGGAAGGCGGGACCGAATGTGGGGAAGGAAGGACAGCTGCGGGTCGAACCGAACACCTAGATTGGGCCCTGGTTCGGTGCGTCTGAGGGAGACTCCAACCCCAGGGAGGTTGAGGAGCTCAGATCCGCAGGAGTGAAGACATTGATGAGAGCCAAGGAGTATGGCTTCAGTCTTGTCCACATTCAGCCGCAGGAAGCTTGTCCTCATCCAGGTTCTGATGTCTGCCAGACCAGCTGATAGAACATCGGCGGATTTGCAATTGATACTGGAGGACGCAAAGTAGATTCATAATAATAATAATAATTATAATAATCTTTGCATTTGATATAGCGCTTTTCACGTCTTCTAGATGTCTCAAAGCGCTTCACAGAATATGCTGTAAAATGAATTGACCGTATATTTGTAGGCAAAACGCAGCAGCCAATTGCGCATAGCAGTGTTCCACAAACAGTCGTGGATTGAAAATGACCAATTTATTGGTTTTTTGGGGGGGGGTTTGGAGGGATTATTATTAGGCTTGTGGAGTAAGGAAACTTACCCAAGTTTCGCCCAGCTGGAATTGAACCCAGGTGTCTCGCTTGCAAGACAAGTGCTCTAACCACTGAGCTACAGGAGCTGAGCTATAGCATTTATGTGTCATCTGCATACATGTGAAGTTTACCCTATGTCTGCCAAGAGGGAGCATATAGATGAGGAAAAGAAAAGGGCTAAGGATGGAGCACTGGGTACCCCCCAGGTGACCAGATGGGTGAACCATTTGCCAAGATGAAATGGAGGTGGTTGGTTAAGGTGGATGAGGGAGGAAAGACGGTGGAAGAGGATGGAATTGTTGACTGTGTCGAACGCGGCAGAGAGATCCGCGAGGATGAGGAGGCAGAGGGATCCTTCGTCCCAGATAGAGGACGTAGTTTGTGACTTTGATAAGCGCTGTCTCTGTGCTGTGGGCAGGGCGAAAACTAGACTGCAGGGTCTTGAGGAGGGAGAGGTGTGACCGAAGTTGACCTACACCAAAGCGTTCCAAGACTTTGGCAAGGAAAGGTAGGTTGGAAATGGGACGGCAGTATGAGAGGTTAGAGGGATTGAGGGTGGGTTTTTTTGAGGATTGGTGTGATAACAGTGGTATCAGGGAGAGTGGAACAGAGCCTGAAGAGAGAGCTTGCTTGACCGTGTCGGCCAGCAGTGGGGAGAGAAGGGGGATTGAGTGACCAGCTGCTGGGTGGGGAGCGGGTTGAGGCAGCAGGTGGTGAACTTCATGCGGGTGATTGTGGTTGAGAGGGAGGAGGGAAAAATGGGGGCAAAGAAGTGGAAGGAGGGGGGAGTGGTAACAATAATAATAATGGAAGGAGGAGGGAGTGGTACGGTTATTTTGGGCCTCCAGGATGCCATAATAATAACCCTTGCATTTGATATAATGCTTTTCATGTCTTCTTGACGTCTCAAAACGCTTCACAGAATATATTGTAGAATGAATTGACTATATATTTGTGGGCGAAATGCAGCAGCCAATTGCGTATTATTATAAAGGTGAAGATTGGTGGCACCTCAAGCAAAACCATCCCATTGTACATGCAAATGTGAGGTTGCAAGAGACATAACCTAGATGCTTTGAAATCACAGCCATATCCATACATATCCACAACAGGTGTATTTTCCAATTGCAAAAAGGTTAGTGCTGCGTGGGGTAGTCTTTATTCTCTGTATTTCATAGTGTAGAGTTTGAGTTAGAAAGAGATCAAATGTAGAGATAGAAGGGAGAGAAAGAAAAAGAGTGAGACAGAGCAAGAGAAAAGCAAACTGAAACAGACAATAGAGAAAGGCAAGATTGTAAAGTGGCAGAGAGAGAATTTGTACCACGTGATACCATTTGTACCATTTGGAGTCCTGTAGCTCAGTGGTCAGAGCACTCGCTTTGCAAACTCAAGAGACCTGAGTTCAATTCCAGGCAGGGCGAAACCTTGGGCAAGTTTCCTTACTCCACACAGAGCCTAATAATAATCCCTCCAAAACCAAAAGCAATAATAAATTGATCATTTTCAATCTATGACTGTTTGTGGGACATTGCTGTACGCAATTGGCTGCCGCGTTCGCCCACAAATATACAGTCAATTCACTTTACAGTGTGTTCTGTGAAGCGCTTTGGGACGTTCTCCCGACGTGAAAAGCACTATATCAAATGCAAGGATTATTATTATTATACAATAGTAACAGCAGAATTTTTTTTAGTTCGCAACATTGTCAATATATATTTTCTGTAATGTTCACCTATCTGCACTGTCTGCTTATTTGTAATGGGGCCAGTCCCAATTTGTACAGGTAATCGTTTCTCTCCTGTGGTTTTGTACTCATCTAATAATAAATAATAATCCTTCCATTGTTTTTGCCTTTCACATCAGATGAATGTCTCAATGCGTTTCACAGATTTTCTGTCAAATGTATTGACTGTATTATCTAGGCAAACACAGCAGCTAATTTTCCCCCAGCAATCGCCCACAAACAGCATGGACTGAGTTTTATTTGGCCAGGACACCGGGAGAGGGAAATTCTGTTTTCAAATAATGTCACAGGGTGTTTAACGTCCACCTGAATAATCCATATCATTTGAAGAATAATAATAATCCTTGCATTTGAAATAGTGTCTGATCACAAGTTACTTGTGGTTACTTTGTAATATATAAAAGATGTTTTGTCCTTTCTTTCTGCAAGTAAGACTTTTTCTTCAAAATATAAGGTTTTGGGCATGCCACCTTGTACTTTAGATAATTTTGTGAAATGTTTGTTTAATATTGAAAAAATGTTTGTAGGTGGGATCAATTTCCTGAGGACATTTTCTTACTTCAACTTGTTCATTAATTAATCATAGAGAATATACCCCAAAGTTCATTTAATAGTGAAAAAGGCATGATATAAGACAGCAAAATGAACAATAGTCTTTAATCAAATATCCCAAAAGTTACATAACCTTGTTCATACATCAGTGCTGAATTGCTTATCTTTATTCAATATTTAGATGCAGTCAATGAATAAAGAATAACATACTTTCCAAGATAACATTTGCACAGTTCAACTGATAGACTTGGGAATAAATACGGAAAAAATGAAGCATTGGACAAGACTAGCAACTTGTAATCTTAAAATATACTAAAAAGCAAATAAAGCCTTTGAATAAGAATCATTGATAAAACGTTTAATGTGGCAAAATATATTAAAAAGGAATAAATCAGGACACAAGCTCAAGTTAACAATTTTACAGATAAAAATTAGTTAGTTTACAAACTAGTCTTCTCTAGGCTTTTATAACTCACTGTACAAGGATCACACAACAACAACAAAATTAAATTTGTATAGAGCCTTTCACGTCAGGAGGATATCCTAAGGAGCTGGACAGTCAGTATTTCAGACCCTAGTTGAGGGTCAGGATTGGGGAGAGTTGAGGGAAGGGGGAGGAAGGAGGGTGATTGAACATGGCTTCCAACCTACTGTCAGTAATATCCCGCGCACACTGAATGTCCAAGTCAGAGGCAATTCAACCTGCATTTTTCTAGCCTCCATGTTTCAAAGCTGCATGCACCCAAAGGGGCCTAGATGCTTGCAATGTGGGGAATAAAGATGTAAACCAACCTTGGCATTTGGATGACAGCTCGCTATTCCACTGCAAATCTCATTGCCTTTGTCACTCCAAAGAACCTGAAATGTCCTGGACAGGCAGTCCAGTTTAACGTTTCATCCAAAGAATGGCACTGCATTGGATTGTCAGTTTAGACTATTTAGGTTCCAAGTCCCGATGTGGGGCTTGAACCCACATCATTTTGACTCAAAGGCAACAGTGCCTCCAATAATATAGAGCAATGTAATACTTACACTTTTGTCAAATCAGCAGCAATATTAAACCAAAACACTCAATCCTTTCAAATCTCCAGAACTTTATTTCTGACTGTACATATACAGTTCTGTACATATACAGTACTGTTCAAATAAGGTTAATCCAGGCAACAGCCACTCCTCAACACAATCTGTAGCTTGCAATCTCATCGTTGAATAAATCCAAGTGA